TGGTTACTAATTACTCCGTAAAAGTAAGCGGAAGAGAGAATGCGTCTATTGTTGAACGCGCTCGGTAAACGAACTTCAAAGCAACGCCGCGGGCGTTTCGTTAAAATGTTACGAACAAGTTTGCGTTCAGATTTACTTTCATCGGTAAACTTTCGCCAATCCTTTGGTAATAACATAAATATAATAACAAGATAGAATGATAAAATGTAACAGCTTTCGGCCTGTCGTAATGCGAGACCAATGCAAGCTGCCAAACACAATTAGGATATCGAAGAAACCTAAATACTGCTAGGAAAACTCAATTTCAGTTATCCAGAATCATACTATTTCAGGTAGTCGCGGTAAAATTATTCCACGTAGACGGAGCCAAATTACCCGATACCAGAACCAAGATATCCGTGACGAAAATATCTCGAACATCCGAGGTAAAATTACTTCACACATCCGGGCTCGAATTACTTCAATTAACCGAGTCCTCGTGACTGGCTCGACGGGAGGCAAACGAAATAATGGACTTGCGCGGACAAAACAGCGCGAAATAATTAATCGCGGCGTCTATTCGCGCGACGGAAATTTATCGCGCTCCTTTAAGGGCGTGGGACAATTAACGGGCGAGAAATAAAAGTGGATCGGGAGGAAGCGTTCGCTACAAAGGAAGAAAGGAGCGTCGCCGGTCGCGCGTGGAACACGTCTGCCGCATAAATTATCCGATCTCTAATTAAGTAGGACCGAAGCGCTCGTTACGGCCGAGCTGTTAATCATCGGACTCGTCGACCATGCGACGGAAATTTTTCCGCCGCTTGCGCGATCACGTATCTCTCAGGGCGGCGAAAATGATCCCACGCGCACGACGCCTCGCGCTCGCGAAACGAATATCGAGGCTGGATGACGCAGATTATTAATAAAGTTACACGCTCCGTTCGGTCGTTTTAATTGAAATTGATGACACCGAAACGTCGGCCATACCGGATCACTCGTTATATCGCTAACGTAACTATAACTTTGTTTTATGCGACAACGGAGTCCGTTTTCGTTTGCGCGTTAACTCCGTGCCAAGTCTGGAGTTATCGACAACTCCATCGTACTATTGTATCAACGGATACAAATTTTACTGGAAATAATTTCGAAAGCATCCCTCGGAGATTACAAAGTGATGTGCGTGAAACGAGTTCGAGTCGAGTATTATGTAGAGGAAAGGCGCATAAAAAGAGAAGAAGAGGAACGTAAGTGGTAGTGTATTGCACATTGTCAGACACGGCTCGCACCTAATCCGACACTCCGAAGCTCGATTTTCCATAGTAGGTTTACGTCAGTCTTCTGTTAAGCGTATGTTTCCATCCACTTTAGATCCATTTTCGCGCTCGGACCATGTTCACACCAGATCCAAGTTTTTGGTAACACCAGCCACGATGGAAGAGGAAATTTGTGTACATCATGCCGAGGCGTGTAGAAAACGGAAAAGCTTTTATTACAACAAGTTTTCAACAAAGCGTACGTGTCGAAAGTTACGGAGAATCATACGGAGTGTTGGATTAGGTGCGAACCGTGTCTGACTATGTGCGGTACACTACCACTTACGTTTCTGTTCCTCTCTTTTTACACGCCTTTTCTCTACATAATACTCGACTCGAACTCGTTCCACGCATCACTTTATAATCTCCGAGGGATGCTTTCGAAATTATTTCCAGTAAAATATCTATCCGTTGATACGATAGTACGACAAGGTTTTAGAATGAAATTGCACGTATTACGTTCTTTTATTGAAAAATTTGAGATCTCGTTGAAAGGACGCGAGTAATATTCTCGACCACCGATGATAAATTTATAAATCAAACATGGCAATAATATCACGTGTTTCCCCGTTCGTTTTGTATGATGGAAAATTACGGTTTACGCTTGAATACCTTTGTGTATTATACCGACACGGGTACGATTACGTGGTAACTGTTGGACACGTTGTCGGGAGATTATTCATTCGCAGAAAATACTTTGAAATACATTCTCTGGAAAGCTTCCCTCGAAAATCATGAAACCATAGGTCTGTGAATGTTTTCTTTCAGAATTATACGAGTCCTTATAGAATCTACCAAAATCAATATTGTTAATCATCCTGGGGAAAACGTATCAATATATGAAACAGGGGTAGAGAATTTTAGATCACCTAAAAATTTCATTAAAATCTCTGTGAATTTTTCGATGGAGTTCTCGGGCACAGTACCAGGTTACTTAATTCTTATTTTAGTTCTGATATTAAGAACAGCGTCTTTCGTTAGATCGTCAACTCGGTATACAAACGCGATTCGAAAACGTTTCGGACGCGGGATAGTACGAGGCGCGGCGATTCTTTCCCCGAAGGCAAAACCGGAAATTAAAGTAGCACCCGCAAACAGCCAACCGGAAACGCCGGGGGCGTTTTTCTATTTCTCCGGTGCCGCATGAACACGCATTCGGACAGTGGACCGTAAAAAAACAGAAAAAAAAAGGGAAAGGAAAACGTAGATAGCAATGACCAATTTTCGCGGCAACGGTCGCGTATCTCATTTCAACCAGCGAGCAACGAGGTCATGAGGGGAGGGCGCCGACGGCGGGCGCCAGGAGATGGCAGAAACTGGGTGCTCTTTTTTCGAGAAATTTAAAAAATGGACGCGGACTTTAGTAAAAGAACTGAATTACAAAGGGGACTACAAGGATTAATATATCGATGATAGAAATAAAAAAACGTGATTTTTGAAATTCCATTTGTGGCCTCAATTTTGGGGACTTTTTTAGGAACTTTTCACAACGGTCTTGCAAATGGCGCCACTACACGAAGCATCGAGGGAAATCCGCATTATTGGGAAAAAATCTCTCAACGCGTTGACTGTCGGGCAAATATTCTCGAAATGGGATTAAATATTATTTTAGACTATTGGAGACTACTCAATTATTTTTCTAACTTCATCAAAATTCATAAATTTCATTCATTGACTTTCGGAATTAATTTCTTTAGCTCTAGTGTTAATAAAATCTGAAAGTGAAAGTCTCCAACTTTAAAACAAAATCTCTTGAATTATCATACGTACGCTTTTCTTAAAATAACAGAATTCTTAAGTTCGCCATTCTGCGGCCTGCTATAAATCGACCCCTGAATTCTTTCAGCGGGATGAACGAGAGAAAAAAATATTTTTGCCAATGCGAGGTGGGAAATTCGAGACGGCAAGCAGTCTAGGAGCGTCGCTGGGGAGACCGACCCAATTTTCGCTGACAATGCGCATGGCGAGAGAGACAGAAACGAATGAACGACCAGGAAGAGGACGACGCGTAAGGAGAAGGACGAACAGGGGTGGTTGCTGCATGGGGGAGGAAGAGCTGAAACGCGGGCCGCGGTTTTACGCGTCCGTTGCGAGTCGCAATTCATGCGGCGCAGGAACTGATATTTCGCGGAAAATGAATCACCCCCCTTATACAAACGAACGGACGGACACACAGCGGTAACGGGACACAATAGTTAGACAATGGGGAGAGCGGTAGCTTTCGGCTTGGCTCCGGTGGCTACGGACTCTCTCGGACCTGGGGATCGTAACCGGGGAGATGGGGGAGAAGTGAAACCCCTGGATTCTGTTGGTTTCACGCGCGAGAGGGGAAGAGGAAGGGAAACGCAGCCCTGGAAAGGATGGAACCGAGCGTTCTCTATGGCCGACGACGGGACAAAGGTGCGCGTTTAGGAATACAAACCGTGTCGTGGCCGGCAAACAACGTCCAAATTAAATTGGCGGCGTCCATTAGGGGCGAGCTCGTCGCGCCGGGACCTCCAGGATTGAACACCAATTAACTTCTAATTAGCGCATTATGCGGCCCGATCGACGAGAATGGAGAGCGTCGAGATGTTTCCCAAGAGGGACCCCTGCCTTTGTACTCCAAAAACTATTGCGTGGCCTGACAATCCCCCTCGTTTCTTATAACCAGACTGCGAATCTTTATGAATTTATAGAAAATTCGTATATGCAAGAAACTACAAAATGCAAACAATATGCAAGAATATAAAAAAGATTAGATGTAAAGTTCGTGTTATAATATTTGCAGAATAAAATGAATTCCTATTTAGGTTCAATTTTTGTAGGCACGTTGGGCCAGGATTTTATTTTGCGTAAAGATCCGCAGTCTACTTATAACTATCTACAAGGGTAAATTTCGAATGCTAACATGACCGAAGAAATACGTTGGACCAGTTATCAATATGCGAGACATGGGTAGAGAATTTATATCAATATGTGAAGCATTGGTAGAGAATTGATTTGGAGCTCTCGAATACAAATATGACTGAGGAAGAAATTTAATCAGTTATCAATATGCGAGACGTAGGTAGAGAATTTTTATCAATATGTGAAGCATAGATAGATAATTTAATTGTAATGGATTCCTAAAATTTGACCACTCTTTTCAGAATGGCTCTTTATATCGTTGGCTTCTGTATTTTACACTCAGTTTCAACCTCTCTCATCATTCCTCAGGCAATCAGTAATCAGATTCTCCGTCTCGTCGAGACAACCCGAGGAGGAAAGCTTCGAGGCAGGTGTGTAGCTCTCTGTTGCGTAAATGTGCAATTGGCTTGTTTTACTCGAGGAAAAACAAGCTTTGTCTTCTACTGCGAGCGATTCGCGATGGGATATTTCACCGAGCGTTTCCCTAGAATATTAGGGTGTAGGGCAAACGTATGAACGTGACGTTCAGACGCGTACTCGCTTTCTATTTAGCCTGGCATGCAATATTCCGAACAAATTTTGCGAGACCTCTGTGTTTCCCTTCCCTTTCTACGGCCGTTCTTCGTTCTTTGATGCTCGCGTACCCGAGGTAACCAATAAAGTTTTTTAGAGCAGCCGTATCGATAGTAACCAGGATCATCGCTTTTGGCGTGATGCTTGAACCTTTCTGATTTCCGAGTCACTCACGCGCGGGGTACATCTGCAGAATGTTCCTAATCCGATAGGTCGAACTTCGGGAATATACGTTGTAGCAATGAAAAACAGTCACGAATTGTTTTGTTTCGGACTTGGACTGTCCGCACACGAAGCTACTCAAAAGGAACGTAATTGGTTATTGCGATTCTTATTAATATTTAATCGAAGACTGATTGTTACTATATACGAATTTATTTATAGGCCACGAATACATATGAACGAAAATATGACTGAGAAAGAAGTTTGACTAGTTATTAGTACACGAAGTATGGGTAGAGAATTGTTATCAATACGTGAAGCACAGGCAGAGAATTTATTTGTAATATATTCCTAAAGCTTGGCCGTTCTTTTCAAGATCTATATGCAAATCCGTGGTCTGTGATGCTCATGAAATTTAAAAACCATCGACTCCGCCAACGTAACTGCATTCTGTCAGAGATTGCTCCTTTGAGGCATGGTCAGTCGTATCGCGTCTCTGCTTTATCGAACGTCTTCTCGCGCGTTTGCTGGGCTTTCATGAAATTTAATAGCTCTCCAATCCCTACGCGAGTTATCTCGGGTTCGTTCTGGTTTCCATTCCATGTTTCCTTGGATGGAATTAATCTTCGGATTCTCGATGTTTCAAAAGATGAAATATTTTTTTGCTTTCGCTCTATCGAAGAGTTTTACTCCGTGACTGGAGTAAAAGAATATTTTTTTCGTGTTTGCAGAGTACGAAATATGGCAAGTCAAGAATTTAACGGAGATATAGGGCTGCTAAATCGCGAGGAGCTTTTCAAAAATCCATTTCCGAAGTACAGTTTCCTAACAGAGCTAGGAAAAATTTACTTCGAAGAACAAGTGGGATAACGTGTACGTACTACACAATCATAACTCGAACAATGAATAATAAATAACGATTGAATAAAATTGTATCTATTTGTTATTCGAATAAAACTTGGTTTAAATTCCCAACACTGCATCGTTTTAAATGCCTTCTGTCGCTAATGAATATCATTTGAAACATTCGCATTAGCACTGATCCCAACTCCTCTGTAACTGCTAACTCGATCTGCGAACCCATTAAGCTATTAAGTGTCAGTTAAAATATCTCCCGGTGAAAAAAAAGCCGCCGTGCATTCGCGCCCATGATATTCAGCTGGGCCGAAAACCTGATCTCGTTCCAACTTTCACCCCTAACTCGATTCGCTTCTGGCCACTCTGGCCGCCGGTACTTTCTATGCAAAACCGCCAATTAATTATACAGCGCACGCTGTTTCGTATTATCGCGGCTCCCGTTTTCATCTTTCCTCTACCGAAGTTGCATCACCTGTTACGTCACTCCAACTTCCACGCCGCGTGCCATTTTTCGCTCCATCCCGACCGACACGAACGATTTCGTAACAATCCATCACGCATTGTCCCTACCCGTCGTCGACAGTCGCGTACTTTCTATCCCCGTATTCCAGAGATGGGTAAAATTCTTATCTAAATGAAAATTCCAACTGGGAAAAAAAACTACAGATTCTATGGAATTTGGTGCTAACATGTATATAGTTCTTATTGCTAGTGTATTACAACAATTATATTGTTTATAAAAATTCAACTGATCGCGCTGAAATGAACGCCACGAATACTGTTATTCGTTACCTGTTACTCGTATGAAACTTTGCCCATCTCTGACGAAAACCTCCGTTGTTCCGCGTCCTCTATTGTAAACTTCCTGGACATTATTATCTCCCGTGGCAGCAACCCTTTCCACCACTGGAAGGGATTCCAGCAAGAGTTCGCGAAAGGAGCACGGAAGACGCGGGCCCGAAATTCAATAGATAGCTGGACGATAGAGGATGTTGTGGAGATTGTTACGATGGGCATGATCTATGGGCGCACCGTGGCCTGGCCGACCCCAGAGCCTCCTCCAGGTATCGAAGTGTCTACGACAGCTCTCCTGCTCCGTCCGTCGTTCCTCCTGAAACGAAAATCATCTCTGTACCAGCCACGCGACCGTCTGCTTTTAACCCGTTCACTGCCAAGCAAATTTAAAGCGACAAGCGGCCAGCATATTTGGCACTAGCTTTAGAATGAGCTAGCTTACAAGAGATAGTTCCGTTTCTATGCGATTCTTCTCAATTATTTTCCACTTACCAATGCGATCTCCCGTTTTCGTCGGATTTGCTCGACGAGTTCAGCGATGTACTCGCGGTTCCTCATCCCCAGCGGTCGTAATCTGCTCTCGTAAAGAAAAGTTTAAAGAGATTCTCATTATGACATAGCACATACTAATGCGTGCTTCTCAGTATGTATAAATTTAGTCTTCATCCACTTAAAGATTAAAAAACATAAAAGTTGCGTGAACAGTTCTCAAGCAACTAGTGTGCCATGTAGATACGATCGAACGAGCATTAGATATACGTCATCTTTGCAAATTCCTTCTCTTTGTTTCCTTTTCTCCGCGGGTAATTCAATGCAGAAAACTACGACTCCGCGGAGCGAGATGATTCCATTAGGTGCAATTTGAACGTAACGACGACGACGCGCCTCAGATAACACCTTCGATTTTCGCGTCCGAAGACGCGCACGCGCGCAAACCGTTTCCCAGGCCGGAAGTTTAGTCAGACATCATCAAATGGTTGATCAAAAACGGGTGAAATTGCAGTGTATAATTGCCTCGCGTAGCTACGCGCTGGAAATTCCAGGGGAAATTGCTAGTCGTTGTCCCGTGAAGCTTTCACCCGCTGGGCACAAAGGGAAAACGATGATATAAATATTCCGCACAATAACTTGTGATTCTACTGGCCCGGTTAATGGCCGCGACACTCATTACAATGCGTATGAAAACTTACGATAATATCGCTGTCGCGAAATCGCTTCGCCGCGATACCACCGTCGCGTGCTTTTTGAATGTATTCCGGGAGAAGGAAATGAAAACAAAGATATTCAGTGAGTTTAACCCACGGGTGACTGTACCATACCTAGATCGCTAACGAAGCCTCAGTGGCCTTAAAAAGTATGCCTACGGAAACTGCGTACTATTTTCGTAGAAGAAGAATTAAGATTGATACAGAATATATTCTTTATGAAAAAATGGATGAAAAAAGTAGAACACAATTTTTTTCACACGAGGCTTTGTTTACGAGACAATTGATTTTGAAGATTCTTGGGTATGCGGTGCAACTTACTACGATTACTCTACCGCGTCTGACCATAAGTGGTTGCTTCCACTAGCTGCTGCTGTAACCGGTTAGTGGAACGTAAGTGAAAGTAGCGAGTAATGGTCAGACGCATGCTCGATCAAACAAGTACCCCACGATCCTTCAACGTCAATTTTCTCGAAAATGGCACATCGTATGAACGAATGTCATTGCACATTTTCAATTAATTTTTACACAAAGAATCGTTCCTACTACGACCGAAGTGCGAAAGTTTCGAAATTTTATTGTATCTAAAAGATAAACCGATTTAAAAAGTACACGAATGCTTCGTAACAGAGATTTACGAACGTAATTCTTTCATTGAGAGTACGCTTTGCCTCGGGAATTGAAACGAACCGTGTTAAGAGCGTGAAATTACTGAAATCACAATGGAACGAGAATTATATCCCGGGAACACGTGAATTTTATTTCCAACAAAAAAGAATTAACGGGTATCGCTTAACAATGGAGACACCTATCTTCCAGCCCTCCGGCGGTTTATTGTTTGGAAAGAGTTCGCATTATAAGCATGAAATTGTAAAAATCTGTAGGGATTACGCGAAGATTCGAGCATAGGCGGGACATAATTCCCTGGTACATGTTCGCGTTACCTCCAAAGAGTTAAGCCGTACCAAACACATAAGAAAATATAAGCACGGGAGCTGCCTTAGTGACACGTACACCGGCCAGTCTGCTAAGGGTGTTTACCCTTTAATAAGGGTGCTTACGTGGGTCATTATGCAGATAAAATGCTGGAAACTCTGACGAGAATGCAATTCTCTTCTTCTACGCTGGCTTATTCGACTAGCGTCCCCTCTTGGCAACTAAAAATCCGTCTTCCTCTGGTTTGCCAGAAAGAAACAGTGTATAAATTAAGTAAAAAGTAGGGCTCCGGGAATAACAGAACTTTTAACGATCGGGTAAACTTTTCAAATAACTCGAGCTTCTGTCGTATTAAGAAGGTAAGCATTCTTTGCGAATTTATTGCAAGAAAGTGGCACGATCTACGTATCCGAGTATTTTACCATTCGTTTAACATCTTTCAACGATGGAAAAAATATTTTGTTGGTATCGAGAATATAAATAATATTTACGATATTTTTTTTTCTAAAAGCAGGTTTTATTACGATACGTATTAAAATAATCGAAACGTATGTTGAATATTTAATTCTTTATAATTTATCAAAAGTTCAGTAGCTTCGATTTCTTTCTGGCTGGAAATTTATTAAAGGCTGCTCCGAATAGCAAACTAAGATCGTAATGACGTCCGAGGACACTCAAGAGTCGTAATGTCGTTTCGCGCGGATTTGCACGAGAAAATCGTTTGAAAAGAGCGACACTAGTGCGAGATCAAATTTTCCTTCGTCGGAAGACAAACAGTGCGAGAAGTCAGCGGAAACAGGAGCAGCGCATTGTTCCAGTGTCTATTCTTTTCTCGAGGAACGTTCTCCAATGAAAGTGTCCCTTCATTATAGCGGAGACAAGAAACGAATTGGAGCGAGCATGGAGCGAGACTTAGCTCGGTCGTGTGCACCTCTCGTGTTGCACGAAGAAAACGACGCACCACCGAAATTAGAGGATTAGTTTGCTTCGGACGGCAACGCTAACTCCCGAGAAATAGAGAAATATTTACCTCTAAACGAAAATTGTACAAACCGCTGCGAACGTCGTATTCGGCCAAATTAACGGATTAGTAATTGTTATAAAAAAATTTCATCGTCACGAGGAGCAGAGAAATATTTATCTTTGAATGTAAACTGAACAAAACCGCTGCGAGCGTTGTATACGGCCAAAATAACGGATCAATAATTGTTATAAAAAGATTCCGTCGTAACGAGAAAGAGTTGTTGTCGCGCAACGTTGAAAAATCATCGCGTTGGATCGCCGCATTTTTCTCAGTAATATCGCGGAGCGGGATGGTCGCGAAACGAAAAATTTCCCGGGTTTCTGCTTTCTTTCACTCCAGCGAAGCAGCCGATAATCGACAGTGATTAATTGCCGCGGTGCCCCGCCGGCGTCCGACCGTATTATAAACACCGTAACACCCACGGCGGCTGCTTCATATAGAATTCCATTAAACGCTATCAAAGTGTCTCATTATACGTCAGTCTCCCAGTGTTCCCGTCTGTAACCGCTCCACCGCGACGAAACAATATCGTATCTTCCATTATACGACTTCGAGCTGAAATAACGAAGCGTTTTATTAATATAACAATATCACCGGGGGGTTTGTTTCTCTAAAAGACGCCTAAATAATTCTCATTCGCTTGGAAGATTCGATATAATAAAATTAAAGGTGAGGGTGCGGGGCAGTTTACTCTTTTGAAAATTTTCATAAATTTTTTATCGAACCATGTGACACGTTAAAGGACAATTTTTATCGTTTACCTGTCACCTATTTTTAAGTTAAGTATAACAAAAATTCCAGTGAGAAGTTGAACAGTAAAGAAGAGGAATCGATCTGTAGAGAACGTGTTAAGTAGAAAAGGCCATTGTTAGTCAGACGCGATGAAGAAAGACGTCACTCACGGAACGGAAAATATCAGAAATAATTCCATCAGCTGGGTGAGCTCTGCACCTCGCACGAGCGAGTTTCAAAAAGTTATCCTCGCCGCGGATCCACCTCCGGCTCTCCAGAAGCTACAAAGTAAGGATTCCCCGAGTATACGGGGTAAAAAATCCCGATCGTCGAGGATCCTTCTACGCGCAATATTCCAAACGAGGCTGCGATCCCGCGTCTTCGAGAGTAACGAAAAAATCCAGGAACACGTTTGATATCCCGGAATCGAGTCGCCAATTCGAGATAAAAGCCGCCGCGAAAGTCTCCGCAATAATTTCTCTTTGAGTATCCATCCGTTCGGAGTTAAGGCATCCGGCTGGTTTTTCCCGTTCCGGAATTAGTAGAGTGACGGGGGCCTGGTGGGACGGGTGGAAGCAATCTGTCAAAGTGAGAGGAGAAAGTAAAAGGAAAGTGAGCGGCATGAAAGACAACGCTCGAGGAGGCGGGCGTCTCCAGCGATTTTTCAGCACGTAATTACCCGAACGCCTTCGAGCGGGGGACCAACGTGCCGAGATGCCGCGAGGAAGGCTCCGTGTTGACGTGTACACAGGCCGACAGACTGTAACGTTAACAAACATTCGAGGGGAAAGGGGGCAACGCCGCGGAGAGAGAGAGCGACAGCTGAAGTTGTCGGGGTCGAGAGAGTTCAGGTCAGTGGGTTGATTACCTGTAATGTAGTTACCTCCTCCGCCCCCCCCCCCCCTCCGACCACCCCCAAGGACCGTAACAGCGCCAACCAGACCTGCATTGTAGGCTCACGGCTCGTCGCATTTTGATATCGGTACGACGCATTGGGAACGCTTTGCATCGCATATATACATGCGCCGACTCGATCCGGGTTGTAACTTCAGCAGATTGTTCCCGATCCCGAGGGAAAACGGAACATCAATTGACAAAACAACCTTGGGCGACCTTGATTAGTCAGGTCACTGTTTACGGGGAAGGGACAACAGCATTTATATCAAAATAACTTTAATCTTTATCGGTACATAAAGTGATGAAACTTCGGTAAAAACCCCATCAAGGTGCCCTTACACTTTCAATTTTATTATAACGGAGCTGTCCAGTGTCTAATTTTCTTTTTAATACTCTGTGGCAAGCTGGACAAGTATAAAACTCTTTTCCGAAATGAGCATTTGTATTTGACTCATTGCGATTAAATAATACAATGTTACAATGTGTAAACAATATAATGCAGCGAGCAGGTGCAATAAAAATCTTTTTTGAAGTTTCAATCCACCAACACACCAAGTTGGATAATCACCTGCCTCGGTACAACATGAGAACCAACCCGGAAATTCTATAGCCAACTATTCAAACAACCAGTGAAAGAAAGCAATTAAGCCCTCAAACAAGAAAAAATTAATTGACAAGGATCAACGAGATCTACAAGGAAACAAAGACCAGAGCGTGGAATGCAAATTTCATTTCCATGCGGTACGTACGGCTCTATCGAGTATCCAGGACGCGTGGCGTCGGTTGCAACGTGACGAGTGCTTTGTGGTTGCGAGTAATAACGTCTGCTAGTCAAAAGCGGCACCAATTCCACGCCACCGGTCAATTCGTACACCTGTACCTCCTCATTGTAGCGGTGCCTGTGATCTTGCACCAGCTGCATATCCGCGGCGATACCTGAGGAACGATTCGACCTAGAAACCAGCTAGCTAGGCGTCGTCCAGTGTTCTTTACCTGGGTCGGCCTTATCGTCGAAGAACTTGTTCATATCCGTGACGGCCAGGGGGTTGACGCCTCTTCGATTCAGCCTCTCGATGGTGGAGTTGCTCGTCCAGCCCTGGAACGATCGCTATGATAACCTGCCGGAACTGTAGCAATTTCAGCCGAACAGTACCCTAAATTTAGATTCCAATTCATGCAGAGTGCTGATTGCGAGGCTCGTCCTTGACTTTTGTGCAGAAATAGAATTCTAATTCTATATTCGATGCTAATGGAGACCTCGGGGGTTGGAAGGTCAGGCGTAAGGTGGTCAGCGTATTAACCTAGACCCTAACTGGCATTGTAACCCCGTCAAGAGCAGCATTAGCGTGGAGTTTGATGAGGCTGTCATTCCCGCTTGATCGTAATCAGTGTCGATCTACATCAGTCTACAATCAGCCTAGGTGAAACTAGCATTGCGGAGCGATGAAGATAGGCGTTGGAGCCCCGACGAAGCTAAGATTACAATTTGATCGGGGTTGGGCGGTAAATCAGATCTCGTTGAAAGCTGCGGCACGGTTCAGTCAATGTCAGCGTTGACCCAGACTCTGATGAAACTGAAATTAGAATTATATCTTGATCAGCATTATCCCGGACCGATCGCCGCAGTTTCATCAGGATCGTCAACGCAAACTTTGTTGGGTGGAATGGGGTCGTTCTAGCCAATGAATTAACACTTTGCGGTCGTATGTCTGCTCTTAGCCATCGCGGCAAAGAACCATACTAATCGTATTGATCCCATATATACTTTTATACCTTATTTTACACATGTCTAAATTTAATACGACAGCAAAGGGTTAAAATTTCTTTAAGAGGCAAATCGTAATTTCTTGAAATATGTACATATAGATAGAATCACAGAAAAAAATTCCAGAAATGTGTTCCTCTGAAGCTCTAGCAGACCCATCGATTTTTAATTAAACTAGAGATGCCTCAATAAATAAAAGAAGCTTCCTCTAGAGCAGAAGAAACCCTCGTCCTTTGATTAAACCAGCCACCTAACGTAACCTAGCCCTGGCGGCGTCTTAGGAGGAACCTGAACCAAAGAATCCCGGAAGCGAGCGATAAAGCTCTCCAGAAGAATTCATCACCGCGTAATCAGTAATCACTTAGGCGGCCCGAGGCTCGACTTAACGCGGCAAGCTCCATCATCCATCAACGTCGCTCTAGTTAGCCGCTCGGTTGCAGCTCGGCCGCTCTGTTTATTACGAAGAAAAACAGAAAACCATCCATAAATCCGTGTCCCGTAGCCGGTATGCGAGACAAAGAGACATCGACGACGAGGCGGACAACCGAAGGACGGAGAGGGCTCCCGAAGCGGGAAGGAGCGAAAAAGAATGTACCGCGACCGGGGAGGAAGTAAACTTGGCTGAAGTGGAACACGGTAATAAATTTCAGTTTAAACTTTCTGGCCGCAGAAGCTGGGAGACGGGGAAGGGATCGTTCAATTACGCAGTAACGCGGCACGGTTATGTATCTAGCGTTCGAGGATGCTACCGGCGGTTAATTAAAAATTAAGAGTTTCGCTCCGCGGGATCGTTTGGGGCGGTCTGATGCCGGGAGACGAGAGAGGCTGGATGGGTCTAGAACTCGATTTCAGCCGTCTTCACGGAAACGCGGCCGCAGCCTCCCGAAAGCACGTTAATGTAAGCGTCAATTTCCACATCAAACGTTGTTGGCCGACGCCCACGCGCGACGATATGCGCCGCCCGACGGAAAAACCTACGGCTGCCTTGTCGACGCCGGTGCGCACCGTTTACTTCGTTTCCGGGGACAAAACTTTGACGGGGGCGCCGTCGACGACCCTGGAAAGCGCAAACATTAACGTACGGATCTTGACAAGCACGGATAAATGGTGTTTCGTTGCACACGTGTTATTTGTTTCGACAAAAATCTTCATGGAATTTCCAATCACACCAATATTTATAAATTTTTATGGATCGATGTAGAGAGATAAATGAACATTTTAAGCGTTTATGTATCGTCTATTTTCGGTATAAATGTCCACAAAGTTCCAGTGGAACGTGAACGGCGCAAAGGAGAATCGAGAACGTTTTAAGTAGAAAAGGCGATCATTGGTCAGAGGTGGTAAGGAAAGGCGTCGATAGGTGAAGTATCTCGTGCTGAGTATCCTCTTGTATCCTCTTTAGTCACTTTTTAGCCAAAATGGTGGACGCCTAAATGGAAATGTCGCCCATGCGAAAGGATGTCTCGCGGAGGTGTCAACGTCAGAGGGCGCGACTACACTACGTCGATTTCAAAGGTTACATCAACATGTTGATGAGTATCGATGTCAAAGGATATTGATTAAAGTATCCTGTTACATTTGGGGGATTACTCGAGACTATCTCAGACCGGTTGCCTACCAAAGTCGACCACTCCCACCGCGATTCCAGCCGCAGTCACACGCTGTGCTACGTTAACCTAATTAAGCCAACCTAGGTCGACCTGTTAGAGAGTCATAACGTTGAAAACCATTGAATACGTCGGGTGGTATTATAAGTAACCGTCGAGGGGATATTCAAGCTGCATGCGTTTGAATAGAGTGTACCGTTAAATGAAAAAGGTATTCACCAGGAAATGCAGCAGCTCTACACACACAGAAGCACGTGACATTTTAATATCGCACGCCAATTTAGGTTTCACCTACATAATTACTGCTCCCGTATCCGGAACGCTCGAGCCCGCTTGGCGCTTCTATATACAAAGCAATAAACAAGTTGCCAGCGGGGTCGATCTTGACGTCCGAGCTTTGTGTAAACATTCCCTAATTTCCAGGCAAGCCTAACCGCGAGGAAGAGAGCCGGGCGTAACAAGCTGATCGCTCGCGGATCTTCGTGCTTAACGCAATCAAGGAGTACGCGTACCAGGGATTCGAGGAAGCGCACACCCAGCAACTTGGGATCCCTCCAAGGAACTCCGCCGGGACCGGGACGACCCCACGGCCAGAGAGGCGCCAGCTAAGCACACGGCGTCATAGCATATTAAGCAGTTTCCAAGGTTCGTTTCCTACATCCGCAACGCGACTGCTTCGAACTCGAGTGAGCGCTGAATAGTATCATTGCGCTTGATGTACAGAACGTTTCACCTGGGATGTACTAGATGGGTTCTAACACGTGGGGCACGTTCGAAAATAATGAAAGGGAACCAGGCACCTCCTCGATGGTAAAATATTAGATTCTGTGCCTTTGTACAAAATCATTTGTAAATAGAATGTTGTAAAGCGTATTTTATTCATTGCGTTTTATTAGGTGGAGTGGAAAGTAACGTCATTTCTGCGAATCTCAATTCTTATTTATCGTTCATCAGCTCATGGATTTTCATGGACCTCACCTTGGAAATTTGCACACTATTACATAATTGAGTAAAAATAAAAACTTATTAATAATGTATTTGTTTGAATTCAATGTAAACATTTGGTCACACCTTGTATATTTTTGTTATGTCAGAGTATGCTTAATATAAGTCTCGACCCGATGGACCACCTGGTCATTGCACCAATTGTAGATGCATATCCATAATTGGCTACGAAAATTCTCATAGATGCATTGTAATCAAGTTGAGACTTACAGAGTAAGAAAAGTCAGGTTGAAAACTTAGAAGGTTGGTACTGTAACATACCCAAATAACGAGTAAATATATTTGTTTAAACGGGAGTTATAGAGTTCTACCCCTATAACTAAATGAACCATGCATCGATGAATAAAATATGAGCCAGAGAATGATAAGTGGAGCAACGAAGTCCGCGCTAGAAAAACATGGACGTATTAATAAATTCTCGTGGACGTTCGCAATCGAGTCCAGGTGACCAACTCCAGATTCTTGAAAAGTAAGGGCGGCGTAGGAACTCTATCCCTCTTCGGAATTTTCTTGGAAAATTCTCAAGAAATTCCCTCGATGCGATGAATTTCGCGTCGCCAAGAGGAATTGCCTTTCCCGCTACGAAACGTCTCCAGCTCTACGTGATCGGAGAACGATACGTCTATGGTTCGGGAGGGCGAGGGGTGGCGGAAACGAGCCTAACACCCGGCAGTGTCTACTGTTCTCCCTCTTTATCCACGTTATTGCCGACAAAAAGATGTTTCACGTTCTCTCTACAACGAAAGTCCATTACGGAATGCCCCTTGTGCCAGCCGTCACGACAAAACCAGGATCATTTCAGACCGTTTATAATGTAATTTTATTGTCGTACAAACGACTGAGTGCGGCGGATTAGGCCGACGTTCGTTCGTATGATACGGAACGGAATTTCCGTTACGACGATTCGTGTCAGAATTTCGCCTGTCTGAACTTTGACGAAGAGGAAGTCAGTTTGATAGGAGCTTGACGCTATAATTCGGGTATTAAAATCAAGAACGAATCTTCCGAGATTTCGTGCAAAACTTGTACTGCTACTTCACAAATGCAAATAATACTAATCACGACAATAAGAAAATTTACTTTGCGCAAGTTGATTCCATCGAATTGAATTCTGCAAAGTTCTCTTCGAAAGGGTTAAAAGGATTACAACAAGCGTTTTAGCGTTAGGACGAAATTCCACTTATTCCGAAGAACGAAAGTTTCGAGAAACGAATAAAATTTTAATAAAAAAAAAAAAGATAGAAAGAATTCTAAGGGAAAGATCCCAGGCGACGAGAAAGTCTCGGAGGCTATAGTTCTAATCTAAACTTACACAACTTTCCACTCTCCAGAGAAAAACTTGCCCCGGCAAATTATCAAACGATTAAGAATTATCCGTGGAAAAATCGCCACAAAGTTCGTTAACAAGCTGTCGTTAAGCGCGTAAAGAATATCGACGCGCGCCGATCGATACGCCCCGTAATACATATTCTATGAACGAGCCGACAGAAAGGCTTCGTGGACGAGGTCACTTGAGATGTTAATGAAATGCAACATCATCGCCGAGGTGACGACGATAATATCGCGGTATTTTATCAGCAAAGACACGATAACGATAACTGCGACCGCTCTCTGAGCCTTCCACAGCCTTTTGTCGCGATTCGATCGGCCCACTGTCGTCACCTACCCACCCAGCGATGGCTACTTTCTAGATGTGCCATTTATGAGACATTGTATACTGTGGGCTTAAGTAGAAGTGGGGCGTTATGTTGTTGAGTTCGACCGAAAGAAGTTAAGTGAAAATGTGGCATTACTCCTAGGAACATAGATATAGATTCACCCTTCTTCTGTTTAAAAACGAAATTACGATCTGATGACAGGATATTATTAGTGAAAATGTGGCATTATGTTGATGGATTTGACCTAAAAGAATTAAGTGGAAATACCACGTTCTTAGATCTTCCACTGTCCTTCGATCAGTTCTCTATCACTGTCCAGCCCTGCAGCGATGGCTACTTTCTCGATACACCGTCTTTGTGACATTAAACACGATGGAAGTGACTTCTGGCGAAAGTTTCACGATCCCAAACTCCGGGAAATATATCGGAACGGACACTCTGAGAATTAGGAATGAGATATCGGGTCACCCTCCATCCTCCATCCCCCCTCCCGTGAGTAATCTCACTTTCGAAGTTCAGGATCGATGCTCACGTTTGCAATTCATGATATCCTTTTTGGAGAAAGTCTCTTAAATTTGCTTCCTACGAGATTGAACAGCCAATTACTGGTCACGAGCATAGGAGTTTCTTGTCTCCGATCTTTTTATTATTTCCCAGACAAACTTTTTAATAATTGATAAGTCCAAAATCATATTATCGAGGTCTACTTCCACTGTCCACCCCCTTTTTCAAGAGACAGTCGGACGCACCTGCAAAATGCAACTGCGGATAAAACGAACCCTTCTCGTTATACCGCGTGTAATACGTACGGAAGTACAAAAGGGAATAATTTACAAGATGCTTGGAGATATACAAAGAATTCAAAGAGTTCTTCCCAAGATCACAGTGAAAGATTTGCAGATGCTCGCCGCGTGAGGTACCCGTGGTGGTTTAATGCACGATAAGAAAAAAAAAAAAACTGCATTACTTATGGGTCGACCTGATATATCCGATAATGAAGTCGTGAATAATGGAGAAACAGAAACTTCAGTGGATCGCGTTTCTTTCGCGCGGGAAGATTCTCCGAGGGTCGCTCGAAAGGGAAGCACAAGATTTGCCGACGGCGAGCTGAAATTACAGAATATAAAATTGGCTGCCAGAGCAATAAACTGTACTGAATACGGAATAGTACAACGTGGAGGGTGTTCAAATGTACATATTCGATGCATTTTAAAGTTTTAGATTATTATACCAATGTTTTTCGAGAAAGTAATAATTCCGAACACGAAAAGTTGAGAATAAGATATTTTTCTATATTTTAATATCTATTGATTGGAATAATTAAAACTTAGTATATTCGACGTAATTAAACATTTTTTATATATACAGCATCATTCAGTGTTCGATTAAACATTAATAACAATAATGGTTCTGAATAAGTATTCATTCGAGACATTAATCGTGAGAAATTTGTCAATATTCTAATATCTACGGAATGGACAACTAAATATTAATTTCTTACAATAGTTAAATTAATTATTAACAATACTTATTATTTAAACAATGATGGGGAATATGATTTTGCTGTGATATTAATGTTTCGCGAATTATTTTTACGATAGAGTTGTTGTAGGTTGTAGGTTGTTGTTCGCCCTTCCTCTTCTCTACTTCGAGACGTACAAGCGAGGCGCGACCCTCGATCGATATGGATCTCGCGATCGCGCTTCCGCGTCTCGCGTCCCTCCTATTTGTAGTTTCCCTTGTGGGTATCTTAGTTTGGTTTGGTTAGTTTTAAGGCATGCGTGTACGAGTGTCTCCTCTGCCAAATAATTATTAAACATTTGTTCAATTCTTTTGTTTGTTCGTAAGTCCATATTGGACTCGCAACTCCGTTCACCATTTCGGTCACTATTACTTCATGTGGTAAGTGTAGTGGCCAACTGTGTAATTGGACACAAAGGTCGGTTGCCACCCTCCTGGTGGATCTGTATTCGAGAGAAAGACGATCGATGCCTCCGGGTCAGTTCTCTACTCCTTGCGTCACGTCTGGATAGTCCAGGACTCGGCAAGCTGCACAGTAAGGCCAAAGCGCAGTGAGACAGATCGCGAGTTGGGTCCGTCGTGGCTCCCGACGTGGCGTGAGGTGTGGAGGACTGGTTCGGAGGTGTCGGTCGTCGTCTCTCGAGTCAGATTCATCAAGAGGAAACGGGACTGACTCAGTAACTTCAGTTACGTGATCGCGTCGTGTCGCGATTTCCACTTAGCTTCCATTTAGTTCAAATAATTATTTGGCAGAGTCAGACATAGACTTTGGAAATCAAAGGGACTTTGTTTTCTTTGATTTCCATAGTTTCGTACTTAGTATTAAGCTCGTGTGTGTGTGTATACTTTATATAGAGGGAGATCGAAGGAACTTTGATTCCTTCTATCTCCGGGTCGTGAATAATATCGAGAGCTAATGGCTGCGAACTTGTAATAAGATCTTTAGATATAAAAAGTGCAAAGTGTAAAGTGCAAAAGTGTAAAGTGTAAAAGTGTAGTGTAAAGTGTAAAGCGCAAAAGTGTAGTGTAAAGTATAAAGTGTAAAGTGTAAAGTGAAATTAATGGAGGATAGATCGATATCTCTTCATTTTCTTATTAAGGGGTTCGATGCTCAAGGTCATTTCAATGACAAACAAGAGAAATATAAAATGTGATGTTAAATTTGTTGTTTCGAAAAGAAAATTTACGATCTAAATTTAAGATATAAAAACTTTACATCTATGTGCATGTTCTGTTTTCATTTGACTAAATTTGACTATGTTTGTTCTTGTTTGCTTACGGTTCTACGCGTTTGCCTACATTTATTTCCGTTTGCACATGTTCACCAGGACTTGTTTACGTTTGTCGATCCTGGTATCACGCTCTAATTAACATTCCACACGTTACAATTTCCCCCCAACACGATCCAACATCGCGTCACCTGTCTCGGCCTTCAACGATGAATACCAAACATACTAAAAATAGACAATGTCTGTAATCCCCGCGCAATCACACGTCCCAAGACCAGAACGACTAAGTATACGACTGGCAGGCAACGGTTGCGCACCACTTTTTAAACTTTGAATTGCAAATTGTCTTCAGAACTAGTTCTCGAATCGCGAGCCAGGCGTCGCCAGGAAACACGCCGAAGGCAAACGTTTGCATGGTTATTATCGGCCAATAGAAAGGGCTTTCTCGCGATAACGGGTTCCAGTTGCTCGCGAGGATAATCAGGCCTCGCCGAAACGACATCCTTCCTGGCGAATTCGCAAAAACCGACCGCCCTAATTCCGCGAGCAACCTTGGATTTCTTGCTCATCTTTGCGTCTTGTATTTGTATACTGTGTCACGTAGGGGAGCGATATTACTTCGCGTAGATCTCCGTGCCTTGAATTTTGTGAATCCTGAGCCGAGGAAACCTTTCAAGACTTGGCTGCCGTTGCAGGGAAAAGACGTCTCTAATGGTTCGGGGACTCGAAGAAGAGTTTCCTGGATGTCCCAAGATATAGAAAATAAATTTTCTTGTAGATACGTAACACATACTTAACGAACAAATATTAAGTAAAAATTTGAGTTTGATTCGAGACACCGAGTGCTTCGTTTCCTGTTTCGGGTATAAACGTCGACGAGAACTGATTTTATAAACTATTCAATGGTGAATCGAGCTCGTGTATCCATACCCCAAACCAACGGTGACAAAATATCGTCGAGTTTTATCCTCGGTGCGCGGAGCTGAACAGAGTACCGAAAACGTCGTTAACGAATGCAAAATGAGGCGCGTTGCGCGCGAAAACGAAATCAACTTTTACCCGGGGATTAAAAAAAAAAAAAAAAAAACAGCGATAGGGTCGTGGACTTGTAATTTCGGATGCAACGTTTATTTACTACGGGACCGTCCGGGATCCGTGTCTGCTAACCTGTTCAATAATACGCGAAGGCAAGAAGGTAATTATTAGCGGCTTGTATATTTCAAGAGGCAGTTTTGAATCGAAACGTCCGCGTCGGATTGAAAATCAGTAATTCATGCGTCCGTAAACGAACTTTGAGAGTTTCGTTGCCCTACAGGAGGCGTGGAGGCCTTCCTATTTTTATCTGATGTTTAGTATCCCTGTAAGTGGGAATGTGGCTTTACATCATAGAAATTTGGCGTAATCGTGTCAAACAGAATTGAAGATGAAAAGTGTGTACCATTTGATCTTCAAATAATAATAGCCACAATATTTTCAAACCTTCTCATACCAATTCAGCTCATTCTTCCATATAAAAATAATTGCCTAATTGCTTACTTCGCAAAAAAGTCCTACCTGCAGTGCGATAAAAATTCATCAAATTATTCCATCTGTCGGCAGGACCAAGCCATCGATGTTAGGGATTAATTAACGAGGCTCTGGCGTGTGATTAACTGAGAAAGAACATTACAGCTCGAACGGGTCCTTGTATGAGTTCGATTCGTGCTTTTTTAATTAAACGCCGCGCGTAATGAACGAATGACAACCAATTCGCAAAAGTATGTCTGTCTCGTTGATTCGAGCATTGCCGTAAAAACAGTCGGTCTTTTTCGGTTCGACCGATGTCGAGAGCCTTCGCAGTGTCTCGCGGTAGAATTTTCCAAACGACTAACGTTCGTTCGATATTTTATTACGATCGAGTAGTCGCATGTTTAATCGTAAAACATTTGCTATCGGAAAGTTGGAAGTAAAACAAAAGAGAATTTCATGCGTTCTCGCCAGTGGCAAATAAAAAAAATAACAATGCGAGAAGTAAATGAAATATGGTCAGAAATTTGCCGATCAAATTACATCGAGGCACACTTTGAATTTTTGTTTCCCAGCTTTGTGCTATTACTCGTTATTTGTCATTTTTAATAATTGTAACGAGAGGCGGGACTGGACTGTGCGACGTGTTTGCGGAAAACTTGTTGATCGGGTGGAGCACATTTTGCTGATTAAAACAAATCGAATACTCCGCAAATAGACGTCAAACTTCTGAAAATTGCAGTGTAACTGGAGCGTTTAATAAAAAACAGCAAGCATCCAGGTGGTTTTTAGACAGGAGAAGCAGTGGTCTCAAGTAGAGTATGGCTGTATGGCCAGACATAAATGAAAGTACATATTGACAATTAATAAACCCCCAAAAATTTGTTACAATTTTACCACTGTAGTATACTTTTATACCTTGAACAACATTTTAAACCAGTATATTTATTTTATCCTTAAACAAATTCAAATTTTTTGTATTGCATTGATTGCCACATTTTTCTCCATAGTCCCAACATTTTGTTTCGCAGAAAAGATCGAGTTTCGTGTGCATCCGTATGCTTAAATATTGTATAAATTATTTGAAACATTACCTGACCGAAATTCTGACACTTGGGTGGATCCGGGGGCTCGAGCGGCACGTTTTTCTTTCTAAGGGTGGCTGCGCAGGGCGCACCCCCTCCAGGTTTACCCCAAGGCGAATAATTCTCCAAGATTTGCTGGAGCTGAAAAAAATGGGAAAGAGATATTACATTTTTTAAGCCCGACTTTTCGGTTAACTAAGAATATTACTTTTCTTCGAGTAAAAAATTCCAAAAATAATTTTACTCCCGCTAATTACGACCCTCGAAATCAAAGACTTGCAATAACATCGCTGATTACAAAAATATTGGAAAAGTTAGATACAGAAAAATGACGGGATTTTGTCTGTTGCATTATGTTTTCACGTAAATATTTATCGCGGGGAAATGACAGTCTATTCAATACATTAAAAAAAAAACTCGTAGACATCGCAAGAATTTAATTGAGAAACATATTCGACGATTTAATTGAAACGGTATTACGAGAGTAAAAAGAAGCAGTGATGAAAAAATGAATGAATAACAAAATTTTGCAGGGAAAATGCTATCAAAACTCTCACATCAACGATATTATTTGAATAAAAATTCCAAATACCCAGGATTACGAAATTCCCATTCAAGTGGAATGAAAGCAACGCATCGAAAAATCCGTGAAATGGGAATAGGTACGATTTAATTTGAAATCTTGCACCGAAATGAATTTTATTTTTTGTCATCGCCTGATGATAACGAAGAAAGAAATATCGAAGGGTATACCAGAGTATTTTTTTCCACCGGGGAAAATCGTGGAAACGGTTACGCCAATGGCGACTCTGTATTCTGGCCATTTCGTCTGTCTGACACTGCACTGATTGATTCTACTGCGCCCTTATCGGGACCCTATTGTCCGAGCCGTTTTAGAGAGCGAGCATCCGAGACTGATCGAGAACTCGCTTTCAAGGCTCCTTCATCGTGGTCCAACGAGATTTTAAAATCCGCCTAAAGATTTAAACGGGACTCAAACTCCCGTTTCATCGCTGGCTTAGACTCGAGATCAATACTCCGGTGGGGGAACTCGAAATTCGTTCGAAAACAATTTTTCTGGAAACACGTTACACGGAGCTTGTCCATCATTTTGATAACATTGTTCGATTCTCTTTTCTCCATGGAATTGATATATTGTTGAAATTTACACAATACAGGAAACACAACTATACCGTTGTTACTGAAATACCGTATGTTTCACTGCGCTGTTTCTGGAGGTCTGTAAACTACTACAGAAACACGTTGAAAAGGAATTTTTCAAATGAAATGTTCCGGGGGAGGAAAAAACATTTAGTTCCACTAGTATTTTTCTAGTAGGCTGCAACACGTCAGCAATAAAATTCCAAAACAGTGGTTGACTTCGTGAGTGTAATAATTGTCAGAGATAAAAATCAAATTAATGAAAACAACAGTGACGGAAATAAAAATGAAAAGTGTCATCGAAGATAAATACAGAAATAATAGTAAGAATAATTGAAGTAATAATGCTCTCGTTTTTCGAGGCCCTCCAATTTGCTCGTTTTCAAACTGCATCGAAACAATTTCGTAAAATTGCGAGCTAATCCGTTCCGTGGAAATCGTAACGAAATTTGTTTCCCCCGATGTAAAAATCACGAGACTCGCGTATTTCGAAGCTCTCGTTGATTTATCGCCGCAATCTGCACGCGAACGCTCGTGTTTATTATTATACGAAAGACAGTGTCTTTTCGTCGTAGCCTTTGCGGCATGCTAATGTTCAGACGTTCTTAATTCAACCTCGAATCTGGGCGATAAGTAATTCCGATAGACTAAATATTTAAATCTTTCATTGCGATTACGTTGGCCAGGCTATCGCAATTACAAATCTTCGAACAGAAATTGTTCCTAGCGGATAAAAAGGAATTACCACCCTCGGGCACTGATACCACCCTCCCCTAACGTCCCTGGATAAAATGGATATTTACAACCTTTTTAAAGTGAAATTACGCGCGATAAAGAACGCGGCTGGCCCGCGGGCTAAAATTAAAAAATTTAACATCGCGTTGATTACGAAACGCTCGACGAATACTTTTATTTGCACCCGTGGAAGACGATAAAGAGAGAATTCTTTCTCTTAACTTTGATTCGATCCACTGCTTTAGAATTCAGGCATGATTAACTGATTTCAATGTTGATGAAAATATTCAAAGGTAAATAATTTACCTCGTTTCTGTCGTATTGTTTTCGTTACACGGTGGTATAGAAATATTCCTCTTTGTTAACGTTTCACTGTCACGGTTTACATGAAAAACAGTGAAAATAAGAATAACAAGAATATACCAGTCACGAGAATTTCTCATTAAATATTTTCCCAAGTAAGGGAATCAAAAATATAACGTACGAGAGGATGACAGAAGTTATTTAAAAATTTTGAAGCACACCACTGTAACACAGATTTATTATTCGTCACGTGTCTTGAGCAACACATAACTCCAGTGGTAATAATTCCATCTCGTTGAGCGCCGTTAGAAACACAGTAAATGAGGAAAACGTAGTTCGAGTAACAATAAGCTACATGCAAGTGGGATTAAACCGTGGAAACGTTTGCGCTCGTTAGTGAAATATTTCTTACTACTCCCAGGGACGAGATATATACGCGGTAATTATAACCCAGCTGCTAATGATACGGTTTATATAAATTTCGCTCGACGAAATCGCTTCAGGGCTCCGCGCGTCGCTTAAACTCCGACGAAGAAAATGAAAATTCGTTTGCAGCAGTCCAGGAATCGCGATGCGAACTGCTTTGCTGCGAGTTTTCCTGACTCTCGATAAATGGCCCCTGCGTCAGTCGTTTCCATAAACTTGTACATCAGGTCGCCATTGACACAGATTTGGGAGGAACTTTGAAGTTGCAACGGAACGAACCGTTTCTACTCGATCAGGAAGAGCGACAGCGAAGAAGGTGACTAACAAGGTAAACTCTATGATTTGTATTATTACAAATAAGTTTAAGGTGTTCTTAAAAATTTGTAAGAAATTTAATGCTGGAAATTTAAATAATAGGCCTGGACAAGTTGCATGACTTACTTATACGCTCAAGAATTTTTGTTTAATATTTAAAAGCATGGCCATTTTTAACATATTACATATTAAGTTTAATCCTTGCATTTTAAAATTATTCTTTGATTGGGATTAAAGTATTGAAATTTTGAATTAAATATTCTTGAATTTTGACTATGCCTGTACTCATTTGATTGAATATTCTTTTCTCGATTTTAATTAAGTATACAGGGTGTTCATCATGAATACACCATCAAGTTATTCACTTGAGTTTCAACGACACGAACAAATTCTTCCTGTAATACACGAGAATATTCTCCCTTCACCCTCTGTACAATCCCTCTTCAAACTGCCCTGTCCTCAAGCCAGGAGTGCAAACGCTTCGTCATTGATGGTCCAAGGGGGGCAGTGTACGAAACGGACCCGAGGAAATCTCTTACAGGGGCTCGTAAAGTCCCTGGAACTGTCGTCCAAGTTTCGAAGAAACTGCTATAACCGGCGAAAATACGGGGCCGTTGCCAGCGACGCGGGTCTGGCGACTGATCTTTATCCGATCAGGGAGCGATACAGGCAAGGAATAAAGGTCAAAGTGTGCGGTCAGCGGCGCGAACGGTGCTCGAGCAAGCACAACAGGCCGTTTACGGCGCATACTTCACGTTGTTCGCGGTGCTTCTGACGTTGGAGCTCCTCCTTTCGCCGCCTCCACAAGGCAGTCCCGTCCTGAACGGCCCGCCGTTCCCGCTCCTTTCTGGAGACCTCCTCAGCTTCCGGTACGTACGTCGTTTCCGGGATTTCCTGTGCCATTTCGGTCCCGGGTGTCTTCCTCTTAATAAAAGGACGAACAAATCACGAGCATCGCGTGCAACCGCGAGCAGACACTCTGAAAATCAAATGGATGTTGTGCTCAGATGCAGGAAACGAGCTACCACGACACCGAGAGGGCTCGATTTTTCGCGGCTCGTTGAGATCCGAGTGATTATTGTCTGTAGCGATTCTGAAAGAAGGTGAACGAGTTTCTGATCTGGCATTGGGGTCGAGGCAGGAATTATTGGCTGCCAAGGTTATTGCCCCACTACGACCCATGCTAGTCACGCCTACAGCTCCATACGAGGAAACTGAGACGAAAGAAATTTTATATCTAAGATGAAACACTACGGAGGTATCTTATCTTAAATTTGTTGTCCGAAATTTCTGAATGAAAAATCATTTTAAGTGGCAATAATAAAGGGGATCGTCTTATAATTTACAGGAATCAGCAGGAAAGTAAGATGAAGTGGTGGGGGTAGCAACCTCGGGCGGCCAATTTATCTTGCCTCGACTTCAGGCTATCGCCAACTAATTCAACCTTACAGTGGGATTTTTAGTAACGAAAAGAACCCAGACAATTTTGGAAGCTAAACATTCGACACTGGATATCGAACAGTTTACAGAACGAAACCAGCGGTTCCGAAAAGATAGCAAGGTCGAATGGCATGACGAGGCATCGGTGTCGTTATCATCTGTTATCGATTTAACAAGATATTATCCTTCTTCGAAGAAACGCGACATCGGCGTGCATACGTTGCGCGGCCAGGTATATCTCGTTTGCACGAACTTATCTTCGAATTGACAGGATGAATGGCCTGAAGGAGTCCCTCCGAGTTTTTCTGGACATATGACTTACATTTAATCGATAGAGGAACGTCGTTTATTTTCTATAATCGTGCACATTATATATTCATCCCGAAGGAGATGATGAGCGGTTTCAACTTACCGCGGAGTTCACTGCGCGGGAAATTGAATCGAATAATAACAATTCTAATGAACTCTTGGTTAAACATAAAATGAAGCCGTCTCGTACACGTTTTCTGTTATGCACTGTTTCCGCCAATGTTATTGACGCAGCCGTAGGGTATCGAGGCAATTAGTATCTCCATTTTGGTGTTTTTTTTTTTCTGGGGAATATTTATAGAAATGTCTGCGTATATTAATACAAGGAAAACAATTAGTCGAACGGAGGTTGTTGCCGCGACAAACAAAAACAAACAACTCGCTAAATTAATCGAGTAGATTTTCATTAAAATCGAAAGTCTCGACATCGAAATCGTGTCGTCGTTTCATTAAATTATTGAACGCGTACTCGAAGTTTGGTAAAGTGGACAACGGTAAATTTCACCGTGGTCGATAAAGCTCCATTTATTTTCCAGCGCACTGACATATAATAACGCGAAACGAACCCATGAATAATATAAAAACAAACGCTGGAACACGAAAGTTCGTCTATCGATTTATCCATAAAAATGTCTTTGCAAAGCGACCGAGAGTATTTCGCGACGCGCGGAATGCGAATGGTCTGGGAGGTAAAATGGAAGGACTTCGGGGCATGCTTGCATAATACCATCAATATCTTTTTATCTGGTACCAACGGCATTGTTACGAGATACTTGGCGAATTTCATTTTCATAACGAAAAAAAAAAAAAAGAAACTATCGTCGCAACGGCATCCGAGAACTCCTCGACTTTAATGAAAATTTTTCGTTCCAGCTCATCCGCTCGTTTGAAAAATCTCGAATATTAACGAACATTTTTACGGTAAATATTTAACACCTGGGATTTGGGACTCCAGAATGCCGGGACGAACAGAACGTTTCGTTTCGTAATATAAATCATTTTTGAAGGAAAATTAAATTTTAACGAACCATTGGTCGCCACCTCGCGTTTTACTTTCAAATTCCCGGCGAAACTGCTTTATACTCGTAAAAAAAATTAAACCGGTTTGAATAAAACATTCTGTATACGATGAAACCGTGTTACCGATTTCAAGCGAAAAGGAGAGATCTGTGATCCGTTTCTGCGAGCAGAAAAAATTTATTTTCCCAGAATTATGCAATTTTCGCCAGGCGGTCCACCAATTTTTCAAATAAAAATCAGCTTTGGGGAATATTTGATATTAAAATTGTGTGCTTCGCGGCGTATATGTTCAGGTATTTAAATTTGAACCACCCACGTTACATAGTTTGAGCGTCAATAACTCCCAAAGATTAGCCTGTTTTAGTTAAAGTATCGAAGCACTTAAATAGGAAATGCTCCTTAAAAGTGCATTGCTAAAAATAATTGAAGGATCAACCGTTACTTTGAGAGCCATTTAAACGGTAAAGACGTAAGAACCACTAAAATATACAAGTACTACTTCCCACCGAGTAGATTCGGATATTTTTAACATCTTCGAAAAGGGGACATATCGATTCCAGGCTCGACTCGTCCTCGCGCAAGAAACAGCCTAGCTATTACTGCGAAGAAGCAACTTTAATACTTATCTACTAAAAATGTAAAAGGAACAACAAACCAGTGACTAAGTAATCATAATTACTAATTACAAATTGTTTACATTTAGATAAGGTTATCAAGTTGTTTATATATAAAAATCGCATTCTAAATACCTATTTAACAATCTGTTTGACAGTTCCTTTTTGAATCTCAAACGATTCCGAACTAGAGAATCGATACACAAGACTGTGTCAAATTTGTCTCCACTTCACTGGCAAATTGCTCATCGAACTTCGGCACTTAATGTTAATTAACATGGTAACGTTAAGTCTAATACTTACGGTGCAAGGGACGTTTGGCGTGTCACGGTTAACGACGCCGACCATCCAGCGGCAACTCGCGTAAATACTTGGGTAAACCGATTACATCCGTACAAAAGCTGCTCACCTGACGATGAGAGCACGCGACTGCCAACCGCCCGGGAATCCCCCGTCCGAGTCAGCCACCTTGTTCTGCCTACCGACGTCGATTCCCCCAGCATGCCAGCACATCCCCCTCGACGTACGTCGGCTAGTGTATGCGTCACGATTTACGCCGTTGCCGTCTACCGCCATACTACACGCTACACACCGCGACTCGACCTTCGAACTCCCGCTGGCTCGTGACCAGGGATGTCGGGGTGCACGAAAATACCCCTAACTTCGCGAAAAATTACGAGGGCTGCGGACGGTGGTTTCGAAACAGGGTAACCGCGATTTAAACGCCCACAAACTCGCTCGCAATGTTTATGCCGTGTAACGGATGCTCGTTTATCAAATTCGACCGATTTCGGGTAATCCGCGTTAGGGATACTTGGAACTGATCCTCTTCATCACTGTATTTCTTCAGGTCCTCGGTGATTGAGATCAGGAATGTATCAAGACAGCTTAGGCCGAACGCACACGGGCGCAACCGATTTGAAATTAGTGTTGCAAACCGTTTGCGCTCTTTGTTTTACCTACTCCACTATCTTTGTTTTACCTAGATCCACGGTCGCATGCAACTACATAGTTTCGAAGTGGTTTGAAACTGATCGGTTGCGCCATAGGCCTTACATGACTCCTGCATTCTTTTAATACTGTTTGCAGTATCTCTTACTTCTCATCTATAGGGCCCCGCTGGCCCCCCTCTAGCTCGGGTACCTCGGGGTTGCTAAGCCCGTACTACTGTAGCTTCAAAAAACACCGCTACAGCTCCTGAGGACTGATCATCCTTCATCGCTATTTATGCTTCTTCAAGTCAACGCATCTCTGTTGGAGTCTTCTTGGTGGTGTTTTAGTAATACTTGCAATACCATCACCAATAGCCAATTAAATATTCATAAGAAGACCATTGGTCACCTATGACTCGGTGAAATTGTCACTCAAACTTCGAGAATTGAAACGCATCGAACACTTGAAGAAGCCTTGTTGTCTTCGTCACTTTTTTCTCACTCTTCGATGATCCACGCTGTAACAGTAAACGGAGAAAATATAAACAAACAGGATTTCGTGCTCGAGTTATGGATTGGACATGAAATTATCGTGCGATGTATTCTTAGCATCGATACGTGCAATCCTAGGACTTGTTTGATCCGCACGGTGTGTACACGTTGTTGAGAAGTTGATGTGAATTTCAACAAGCGTTGCGTGCCATCGCGTGCCACTGACCTTTTGCACCTGGCCATCGAAGGCTGTTCATTAACAAATAAGGAAAAATGGATAACCTACACTCGCATGCAACATGCAATGTTGTTTGTCAGAGAATATCCCGTGTGGTGCTTTCCTTCGCCACTTCTCAGTATTTTAATTTTGTACCTTCGACGTATAAATATCCCACAGCCTTTGAATTTCCTTACTTTTACACAGTATTCGCCATATCACATCACATTTATATACGGTTTCATTAAAATATTTGGAATTTACTTGCAATTTTAATTTTCCAAACTCTCTACGTCCGCGAATTAAATATTAAAAGGTGAATAAAATAACGACTCGGGATACTCGAGTAGTTCTCTAAATTATGAAATCACGTCAGGGATTGTCAAAACACGCTGTTAAAATACATTATCCAAGTATAATCCAACTAAATATTTAATACCTTGCATGGAGTGGAGCGAAACATCGAATGGGATAGTTCTATGGTAAAAAGTAATATCGCAGGTGCATATAGATGTGGACAAAAAAAAACAGAGAAAATCCAGTAGTTTCCGTTGCCAGAAGTGTTCCGTGGAAATATTATCCGTGTTTATTATTATGCTGAGCACCCAGCAGGGCATTCGCAAATGTAAAAACTTTTAGCAATACGAGGATCAAAAGGGAAGAGGGCACTTCTAGCCACAATCACTTACTCTAAAATGTATTCAAGATCATTCGAAACCTTCTCCGGGTATAAAGCTTAACGAAAGACCAACTTCCATTTAGGAAATTTTAAATGATCTAAAGATCATTTATCATTTTAAAAGTAATTCACCAAGTACTCTCGCTCTACACTTACTGGATATTTTGCATCCATCTTACATGGCGTGAAGTGGGACCAATAAAACAAAATGGCGTGTCTAAAATTGAAAGAGTCCAGAACTTTATAGATCGCCGGTAATATCGCAGAGGGTAAAACAGTTGCGTGGATCACGAAACTGTTGGTGGAAACGTGGAAACGAACCAGAGATACCACGACTCCAGCACTTCCAGCTGAGCACGATCGATAGGGGTGAAGTGAAAACAGGGACGTCTCCGGTTGACGTGTACCAGTTACCGATGAAAATATTCCACGCAATATTGTTAACCGAAATCGACGCAAAATGTCTCGAATAATACTTCTCTTAGCGATATGTTGCTTCGCCGGTGTTCGATCTGCCAATCTTGAAGCAGTGAACGATGAGGAGTTGATAAATCTCATAAAAACTGAGAAATATGTGGTAGTGCTCTTCAGTAAGTTTTGCTCCATTATTTAAATACGTGTTTTGACTTTCTTGACTGCAACCACCCCTCGAACCCTATGCAATGTTATAAAAACATTACATTAAATCAAAAGAAATTCACTTTTTCAAGAAACCATTCCAACATCTTCGTTTATAACTAAAACTCTTGAGATAACCTATTGTGTGGAGATTTGTAATCATTGTTGATGTTCAACCTTATTTTTTGCTTACGATATACTCTAAATCTTCTAAATATGTACATTTAGCATTCGATAGTTTATCAATCATGATGAATATGAAATATTTACAGCTAGTAAAGACTGTGAGGCTTGTGATAACTATGAGAACGAGGTAATCCATCTACGGGAAGACCTGGTGGACTCTTTGTCTGCCTGGGTTGTCAAAGTTGTGGATAGTCAACTGCTCAGACTCTACAGTGCAGATAAGGAACCGGCACTTGTGTTCTTTAGACATGGGATGCCTTTACTTTATAATGGTATGGAGTCAAAGTTATTTTTATCTAAATGATTCTTCTTTCTTCTAATTTGATTCTTTTTACAGGGCCATTAAATGATGAAGAGATCCTGATGATGTTTACTGAAAACAAAGAGCCTACAGTAAAAGAACTAACAGATGATACATTTGAACACTTAACTCAGGCAAGTAGTGGAGCTACAACTGGAGATTGGTTTGTTATGTTGTAAGTTTCTTTTCTACTTTAACTTCGGTGTATTCAATTTTACCAATATTTCTTATATGCTTTGGTTAAAATAGTTACAGTACAGATTGCGTGGAGTGTGTCAGAATGATTGCAAGATGGGAGGCTGTAGGTGCAAAGCTTAAGCAAAAGGTAAATGTAGCTCGTATCAATAAATATACAACTGGAGCATCCACAGCTAGGAGATTTAATGTTTATGAAACTCCTGAATTCATATTGTAAGTATGCATCATTTAATCAGCACATACCCTTAGGTAAATAGGTTATATCAGAATTATAAATACAGAGTTAAATTCTTTAATATGATTTATTTTGTACTTGTAGCTTCAGACATGGTAAAATGTATCGTTATCAGATACCAAAATACGATATTAACGCGTTTGTGTCGTTTGCGAAAGATTGGTACAAAAATGCGCGTGCTGAAACTGTCCCTGTGCCACAAAGCCCATTGTAAGTATGAACACATTTTAAATAGGATATTATAGCATTGTATTATACATGCTTAATTATGTTTTCAGCGATGATTTGGTGCAAATGATTGCAAACTTCCTTCGTGAAAATCCATGGGTTTTGAAGCTTGGCAGTATGACCATTGGTGTGTTTATTATAATTTCGGTAGTTTCTAGATTCAGGCGCAAAACTCAGACACCTCAGAAAAATGATTAACCGTTTTATGCACCAAAGAGATGTGTTATGGGTACTGTGCCAAACCATTCATATTTGCAATGTTGTATAAAAGCACAAAAATTAAATGAATAAATTTTTTTAACAAATTTACATCGCAATTTTTTGTTTAAATAACAATATATTTTCATAACTTTCTAATCACGTTCAGTACCCATAATATACATGCTGAGAAAAAATGGATTTGTGTACATTACATTCTCAGACATTATATTTTTTATTCCATATAAAATAATATGTATAGTAGCTACAAGACTAATTTTTTAACAAAAATGTTTTTTGTTTTACAATAAATAGTCTTCAATAAAGATTATTGCTGTTACACAAAGAATGCCAAAATATTTACCAGATATAGCATTTTCCTCTAAAGAGAAGTGGCTTTAAGGTTATGTAAGTGCTTCACGTTTACATCTATATATTTGAAAACTAAATACAAACTGAAAAACAATACGTTTGTTTGAATGTCAATGCATCCACGTTTGTTAACTACCATATACACCCCTTTTATTTTTTCATTGATAAGCCAGTAGAAAAATAAAGTAAAAATATAAAATATGAAATGCGTCAGGCTCTATGTGTTGTTCTTTAATATAGTGATTTGAAAATTAAGCTTTTAGTTTCATTACACTTCCATTGTCCATAGTTTGCAGTAATGCTGCGAGATCCATTCACAAGACACTCTGTGCAACATATATTACAGAAATTAGCTTTGTGCATTAGAAGTTTAAAATTACATTTATTCCCTGTATGATATTTTTGGTCTTATCAACAGAATATATTGCACTTATTTTAAACATTATCAACTGATATATTTATCCTAAAAACAGTAGATGGGTCAGACAATGCCATTCTGATACTGTTTTCAAACTTTTCTTGTATAGATGAGAACTCCATCATGTTACTTGGTTTGGAATCAATCCAAAACCTATCAAATTCATAGAAAAGATAACAATAAAACTGATGAAAGGCACGAATTGATGGCAATGTTTTAGAGGAATTATAAATATGAGTCTTGGCAGCTCCATCTTTCAACAACCGTAGAGCCATACTGGTTAAATTTATACCAACTATAGCAAATGCATATCCATAACGTGGATGAGTGGAGTGTGATAATACATGTGTTGCTGCACTGGGATATTCTTGAGAAAAATAAACCAAATTCTCTAATCCTAGAATTCCCATTCCACGAAAGTCTGTTTTTGGGTCATCCCCCTGAAAGCCAATTTCTTGCCACTGCTTTGTAACTCTAGCATCTAATGGCTCATAAGGCATTAAAGAATTCCACAGCTGTAACAATAATAATTCATGGCCTGGATTCTCAGCATCATAAGGCGTTTTTCTAAGCTCTTCACATTCTGTGCATAGTTGTCTATAGCCCCAAATTAACTCTACACACTTCCCAAACAATTTAGCAAAGTCAGGATGCGCAGTGGGATTTATTTTCTTAGTCACTAACACTGTCCTAATAGCTTCTTCTAATATTTTACGCTCTGTTTTAGTTGTAATTCCATGCTGATCTGCAAGCTCATTCAAATGAGCCACAAGAGTTTTGATATTTGCATTTCTGGACAACTTAAGAGACTCCTCTATAGCTAGAGTTCTTGGTGCTCCGGATGGTTCCCCATAACATATTCTTTGTAACTCACACATTTGAGTTGTTTGACGTAACAACCATTTTATAATAGGTCTGAAATACCAGCACACTAGTGACCAAAGATACGAGAGCATGCTTCCTATTAATTAAACACCTTGGTACAAGGAAACTTGTATGAAACCCTCAGTTAACTCCAAGATATGATTAACCTCTTCCCGTCATTGTACTGTCATTCACTCGTCTGAAGATATTAGATTTTCGAACAGCGTAACTTAATACTTTACCGCGTTTTTTGACAAATAAAACGGTTTCTTTTTTATTACCGTTAAGATCAGAGGCCAATGCACATAACCTGTCCCATTGTAATTGACGTACATGATTAAAATGCTGACTCTGTTGAATGAAAAGTAACTTTGCCCGCGATGCTTTTTCGTGGGCGACGAAACACTCGGTTTCCACGTTACGCTACGGGGAAATCATCGATTTCCTCAAACATTCGCTCACAGCGAACAGAGATCAATAATAACTAGCTAAACTAACGCGATACTGACGGTAGAAGAGGTCACTCACTGCCGTTATCCTGTACCAAAATGCCCCATATAGAACACATACCTGTTTTGGACCGAATTCATTAATTTTCTTTTCGATCCGCACATTAAAGGTATCTGTGGTTCTAACATCGACAAACGTGTGAAAATTGTCCCATATTTCAGCCGTTACTTTAAAGCAAATATTAGCTAATTACCGTTTCACCTTGAGTGGCTACCCTAGCCACTGTGAAATGTTTACACGCGCAAATTGAATTACTTGTTGAACGTTAACATACCGTAACATACACGCGGAACAATTAGACATTTAAGAGACCTTGTTTATCTCGACAAAATAAATTGAAGAAGTGGAATAATCGTTTACCATACAAGGCCTCGTTTACGGGAAAATCGATTTTGAAATGCATAGGGCACGCGCTGTTGATATAAAAGGATTCTCAAGGTCTACAGCCAATAGTTTATTTTCAAAATAGACTCTCTAACAAATAACGACTAGTACAACAAACGTCTATTTTACGTGTATGTATTTAAGAGAGTAAGGAAAATTTCACGATGGCGGGGAAAAATTAGGTACCCCGTGCAGCCACTATGCGAATAAAACAACAAAACATCATCTTCACGTTTCATACTACGAAACATGTAAAACGAGGCAACTTCAGTCAGACCCGTAAATGGCAAAAATCCTTAGCCCCTTTTTGCCCTCATTTAAAAATAGCCGGCTTAAACGCGTGCAATAGAAGTCGACGGAAGAGGAAGTACTTGATAAATGGAGAACGAACAAGCGACTGTGTCGGAATCCTCGACGATATGTTCGATCAATAGCGAAAGCTTCCACAATATCGACAATCGGTGTGGAGAACTATCGGATGACGAGCACTGCGAGAAGGATAACACGAATTCGGACTTAGTGTTGGATCTTCGTGACGTAAATCCGTATTGCGAACCAGTCTCTGAGAACGAGTCGTTGGAGAAGCTTTCAGCTGTAATCGAACAGCCGGAGGAATCGTCAGTGATTTTAGAAGATGCTCGATCATCGCGGGATGATCGCGAGGACAGAGAGTTAGTACAACAGATGCCTATTTTTTCCCCAATTAAATATGAATTATAATACGAATTTACGCCTGCAGAGGTGTAAGCTTGCAACCCGTATCTGCATCAGGTTGTCTGTTGCTAGGGGCGTTTCGATAAAAAGCAATTTTAACCTTATTACAAACCAAACTTTGTGTATTAATTATTTTTAGTATCTTATGATTATTCCGGTTTTAAAAATTTAGTATCATTCTTCGGGATCGCATAGAGTCGCTTCGTGAATTAATGAGGAATCTAAAGGACGAGCTGAAGAGAGAGGTGGAGCTATGGCGAAAGGAAAGAGAAGAGTTGCAACTCTTACGCGAAAAAGAAAATGCGATGGCTCTGGAGGAAGCAACTGCAGCTGCACGAGCAGCTGCGGCAGCTTACGCCGTGGAATCGCCGCTATCTAACAATTTGGGTAATTTGGGTGTCCTACTTTAATACCTTATCACGGCCGTTATCATCAATAATGTTGGCTGTTGCTTGTAAGAATAAATTACTCTATTTCGAGGGGTACATCTTGTGTTTTACCCGACTCTGTTTCACGTAAAGTTTTAAAGATATAGAGATATCTCGATAAACTTATGTTAGGTATGAGTTTCATCCCTTAGTGCTTTCTTCAAAATCACACAACAGTTTTTTAAGGGGGTATTCTGAATTAGGAGATTCTGAATTTTTTTAGGATAGAAAAAAATAATTAATTTTATCGAACTTTTTATCCTATTTTCATACATATTTGAGTAGTATTGAGTAGTAGACGCACATTTATAGATCACCTCACAATTAATACCTCCTATCGGCGGGAAAGATGCAGGTCGTAATTTTGATTTGACACAAAAGAACCAAAAGAAATTTTCATTTTCATACATTTTTCTTCTATGTGAACTAAGAAAACTCATACAAAAAAAATTTTGAACAACTTTTTTACAAAGTTAAAGTGATTCTTTTTACCCAAAGAACTCGTTCTTTTTTTCAAACTTGCAAGTAATTTCACATTTCACCATTTTTGCGGGTTTTTCTTAGTTCACATGGAAGAAAAATGTATGAAAATGAAAATTTCTTTTGGTTTTTTTGTGTCAAACCAAAATTACGACCTGCATATTTCCCGCCGATAGGAGGTTCTAATTGTGAGGCGCTCTACAAATGTGCGTCGCAGTCGACTCAATTTGAATATTTCTTGTTTAAAAAATTCGTACAGACTACTCAAATATGTATGAAAATAGGATAAAAAGTTCGATAGAATTATTTATTTTTTCCATCCTAAAAAAATTCACGAAAACCCGCTTTCGTTAGACCTCCTAATTCAGAATATCCCCTTAAGAAAATTCTGTGTAGCTTTTACTGGAAAATAACATGATTTATAGATCAGTAAAAAGAAAACTGATAAGATTATTAATAAAAAATCACAACTTTTATATTATTTTGTTTACTGATGTTTATTGAGGAGCACTAAGATTGCTAAAAACACATTTAATTCGATTTGGAACTTTTGAGGATGATTTTTGTCTATCGTAACGATTGCAAAACGGATGAGTCAATCTTACAAAGAATGTTTTAGATCTGACGTCCGAGGACACGATCAGGGAATTAACGATACTCGAGTATGAGAAAAGGCTGGCCAAATATCAAGACGAGTATTCGTTTAGTCAAGCGGAGAAACGATATAACACTCGTTGGAAAATGATCGCGAGCGCCTACAAGCAGAAATTGATCGAAGTTGAACGACTCTGTAACGAAGAGCTGGAAAAGGTTCAGCAAAATGCGAGCCACCTTCAACCGCTCAAGGAAATGGCATCGCAATGGTACACCGACGAAAAAAACCACGGCGACACGATTCGACGATCCGAATTTGGCGCCAGTGTGGAAAAGAGCGCCATTTTGAACGAGGAAAGCGCGCGTGGGAACAAGTTTCAAAGCATCGACGCGGAAGTTAACATGGCGCCCGAGATATTCGTTGCCAGATTTAAATCGGAGAATTTGGCAAAAAACGATAGATACTACCCACAATTTTAACTCTTACTTTCTACATATATATTTGTACATTAAACTTTTATTACGCCCTTAGTGGGAACTCATTCGAGCAAGATTAAAATTTTGTATAACTCTTCATTCGTTTTGAACAATTCGTCGACTAGTTCTACTAATTCACCGAATACTAGTACTATATAGTACTTACATGTGTAATTTGCTGCAATGTAGATACCTTTTTAATGTCTTATTCAAGGAGATGAGAAGTCCTAGCGAAAATATCTTCACAGCACAATTTAACACACCGTATCGCAAGCACTACCAACGAAGGCTGAGACTGTTCAAGTAGTTTAACACATATTTTGATTATTTCTTTGTACTTTGAAGTGAATATACAGTAAACTTTGAAGTCAGAACACAATCAGCTTCTTATGATGTGTACGAGGGAGAAAATTAAACCCAAAAACCGTTTTTAATACTACGTGAAACTGTGCAGTGCGATTTGAATACGTGATGACACGATTGAAGCGAGAGGCGAGACTGAAAGAGCAGGACGCAGACGTAGAGGAGCGCCACGGTAGTGGAGGAGCGTCTTATAGGTATAGTTCCTATAGCTCGTGCTACGCGGCGCGTTCTTTTCGCATAAATTTAAAACACTATATTCGTGTTAGATGTGTTGTTGTTAAAACAAAAGTAATTAATTCAAAAGACATCCGATCGGCTAACATCGTTTATTAACATTGCAAATTTAAATTATATTCACATGCATGTAAATATCAGTGATGGGCAAAAACTTAGGATATATTAGGAGATATTAACAGAAAACACTGACCAATAAGAGCGCGAGTATGCCAATGGAGCGCTCGCGGTAGCGTATGAGCGCGGTCGCCTATCGCGTAGCCTACGCTCAACCGGTATACTCGCGCACTGATTGGTCGGGGTTTTCGCTTAATATCTCCTTAACGAAACCTCGGACAATATTTTCGCTGAGGAAAAAGTTGTTTGAAATCACCTCCTAAACCAACCCTTTCAAGGTATTACAACATTTTTGGGAAGCTCTGTATATGTCATATGTGTATGATAATCATAGAGCTCTATCCTAATAGGGATAGCTCAATGCTCCTTATAAAGTCTTCATGTTTATATCCTACAGTCTCACCTATCGTAGCGCTCTTTGTCGCATCGCTGCGCAGTTACGTTGGCAGGACCGTCACAGTGTCGAGTTCTTTGGGAAGTTCTAGTTAATTCTAGAATTCTGGTTACACATTCAAATCATTTACGCGTACGCGCCGTCTGTTCTTACGTTTCTTGCTCGATGTATACGTGACGTGGTGACTGGTGGTGACCAGTGGTTGGAGATACAGCCGAATGGTTATTGCCGGTTTTGTTGTGTAGTGTAACGAAGCTGGAAACTGTTTTGTTTAGTTGATTAACGTAATTTTCGTAGCAAACGATTGCAACCATGATGCAGCATGTATTTGACGATGTACGGCGGATGAATAGACGACAGGTAAAGATATTCTTCGATATCGGTATTCAAAAGTTCTCGTGTGCAAGTACATATGGTCGATTGACTGTGATCTAAAAGCTGTTTTTGACTTTACTTTTTCAGGTTCTCTATCAGGTGCTGAGTTTTGGCATGATCGTTTCGTCTGCTTTAATGATTTGGAAAGGATTGATGGTCGTAACAGGCAGTGAAAGCCCAATCGTGGTGGTGCTCAGGTAATTGAACACGTATCCTAACAATCTTTGACGCGTCTTTCACGCGAATTAATTTCTCTTTTGAAACCTGAGGTTATCGATTTTTATTAAATATCTGGTATTACGTTATACTTTTGTGTACCGTTTTATGAATTCGCGTAAATAGAATGTAAATTCTATTAAATATTATATGACATACATAAAATGTCAAGAAAAACGAGGTTGACAACAAAAATCCATGCTTATAGACTCATTAATCTAAGTAGCTAGTGCAAAGTTATCGTGAATTTAGAATTTAATTTTGGAATTACTTATGCATGATCGTGCGCGTACTTTATTTATACTTTCATAAACAGTTCATAAGGTAGATCTGCTTAATTTTACCAATCCTATATTTCATTGGCTTTTTCCATGCAAGTTTTACTGTTAGTGCAATATTCATATGAATTTATGCCTCAATGTTATAGTGGCAGTATGGAGCCAGCATTTCACAGGGGGGATTTGTTATTTTTAACCAATTTCCAAAATGAGCCAGTCAGAGTAGGAGAAATTGTTGTCTTTAAAGTTGATGGTAGGGATATTCCAATTGTGCACAGAGTACTCAGGCTACATGAAAAGTAAGTATTATATAGAAGTATTATATAGATGTAGATTATATAGGCGTATGCTAAGTTATTCTACAAAAATTAATCCATTCTAGGCATGGTCAAAATCATACTGTTAAGTTTCTAACAAAAGGTGATAATAATTCTGTTGATGATAGAGGTTTATATGCCCCGGGTCAGTTATGGTTAACTCCTAAAGATGTTGTTGGTAGAGCGAGGGCTTTCTTACCATATGTAGGGATGGTTACTATATTAATGAATGAGTATCCCAAATTAAAGTATGTGGTCCTGCTATCGTTGGCACTGTATGTGTTGGTACACAGAGACTAAGAATATTTCATATAAAAAAGTTATATGAAATAGAATACTGTTGAACATCTATAAAAAATACACATGTGGAGCTATGTACAATGTGATTTTATGTCTTGTTCATTTCATACCACTTGAAAAACCTTTTGTATACAAGGGGTCAATGATGTAACAGTTCTGCGAAAATGTTTATATTTACAATAGTAATAAGAAAATATTAAGGTGTGTATGTATAGCTCCAGTACTTTTGTATTGTATTGAGAGATGGTGTCCTGCCATTACTGGCAAAATTGAATGTATGAACATCTTTATTTCTTTAGGTAATATTGCTGTTGTTTTGCCAAAATTCATTAAATTTTTTAATTAAATGACACTAAAAGTTCCAAGTTCACTATGATACTCTTTTAGAGCTAACAAAAAATGCAATTTTTTCATTGTTAAACATTTAATGCATTCCTTTACATGAATTGTTATGAATGTACATAAATGTTTGTTAAAAGTATAAGTTACGGAAATATTGATTATTCAGGTAGTTTCTCCATATAAAAACATTATATACTTGCTTAGTGTTTAAATTATATTCTTATAGAAATGTTATCATAAACCACAATTAATAAAATTTCGAATTAATTTTTATATAAATTTTATAATACATTGTAATAAAATGAAATCGTATTTGAACCTTATTTTTACCATGAGCATTAGTTAATGATTTTTGTCAACACAGCAATGATATGGACAAGATGTAACTGAACTTTAATTAGAGTTTTGATGCATAAATTATTTTTAGTATACATTACCACATAGTCGAAATGTAAGTAAAGCTATTACTACAATTGTTTATTCATCATTCTTTTCCCATCTGCGTATTGTTAAGGATACTATAAGTTTCATTGTTTAGTAAGTTTTCTAAATAATTAAGGAGTCCTCAGGCATTTATTACTAGTTTTATTTTTAAAGTATCTTGTGTATTTTAAATTACACATTACCAAGATAGTTGCATAGCAATGGTGATTGAACATTGAATTATATTCAATGGCTCTGACTATTTGACAAAAATCTATAAACACTCTGTATAGAAAGGAAAAAAAATGACACGGGAAATTTGAGAAGATTAACAGTTAAATGTATATACTTATGTAAGTTTTTAATATTTACTGCACATAAGAGTAAGCGGCATCTTCTCTATCTCCTCCATCATGGCAATATCTGTAGATAATATTTTTATTTCACAGACAATGAATGTTCTAAAAGGTTGACAACATCTTAGGTCGCGAGGTACCATAAGTAACGATACTTGTTTGTAGGTAACTCTTCTAAACACCTTTATGTGTTATGTGTTTAGTTCACAGCAATGTAATGTTTGTCTCTGACTATCGGAAATTATAAAATAAATTTATAGCATATGAATTCCACACAACGTATCACCTTTATTCCTAGTAGCTTAAGTATATTTGTGGTTTTGTTTTCTTGTATTGTATTAAAAGGGTTCTTCTTCATTTTTTTTTTTACGATTATAAATAAATATACAAGCAGTTCGTTGTTTCGTGCACTCGTACGCACACGTTTTATTTTGGATATGTAATATGTAGGTATAGAAATTGATTAGCGACGAGGCTCCACTTGAATCCACGTTTCTTTCGGTGTAACGATCAAACCGGGTAGCTTATCTTCTGGTTTTGTCGGTTGACCCTCTACAAACGACAAATTAAAGTTTTGCATCAGCGCTGCAAACATTTCGAAGATATTGTATCTTGCGAATGTTTCTCCTGCGCACACGCGGTGGCCTACAACAAAATTTTGTATCATTGTTGGCTTGCATCGCTGTCGTTCTCACAGCTTATTATTACAATTAATGTTCAAAAAATTTGTTGCATACCAAAGCCAAAAGGAAACGAGAGATCCTTGCCCAATAGGCCGTTTTCATTGAGAAATCTTTCAGGTCTAAAATTCTCTGGATCGCCCCATAAGTCAGGATCTTTGTGCATCCCCGCTAAGTTTGTGATAACTAGTGTACTCTTGGAAACATTATATCCACCTAGGGTAGTGTCCTTTAATGTTTTATGAAACACAGCAAACGGCGTCAGAGTTTCGTACCTGAAACTCTCGCGTATCGTTGCTTCCGTGTATGGTAAACTAGAATGATAACATGTTAGTCTTTTCGTTTCAAGAGTATGCTAATATATGTAACATACTTCTGCCTGTCTCCCCAATTAACGTGTCTTCCAGTTCCAACCACTGTGTCTATTTCCTCTTGCACCTTTCTCATGACTTCCGGGTGATGCATGACAAGTTTAATAAGGTGGACAACTGAACTTGGCATCGCTGATAAAGCTGGGAACATCATGTCCACTAGAGTCATAATCAACTGCTTTTCCGAGAAAGTAGACGTTACATCTCGTTTCTTCATTTCCTTCAAGTATATATCTACCAACCCCTTGTCTTCATACGAGACTTCCTGTTTACTCAGATATTTCTGAAACGTGGCTTTATAATAATACAATAAAAAAACAAGTAAATCGAACAAATTTTAATCCACAGTATATACTTTGACGAAGTTTACTATGCGGTAATTTCCTTCCATAATGCTCTTGTAACCGAACATATCTCCGAAATATTTGTAGACTTCTCTTTGGAAGATTGCTGCACCTGTGGTATCCGCAGCCCTTTGGAATATCATAGCAGACTCGCAAAGGTATCTCACCTTATGGTGTTCCGAGCGATCGAATCTGTACCCAAACATTATGTTCCATATACTGTTTGCCGAGTAGGGAAACAGGATGTCTGGGAAAAGCGCGTAACCTTTCTTCAAGAATGTCTGAAAGTACATAGGAATCACTTGTGAACCAATAAATTTGTATAGGGAAGCCCCTTGTTGCGTTAGGTATGCTTAGGGGGGTATTATCGTCTAGAAGTTTGTTTTTTCAGTAATTTTTAGGAATTAATTTTGCGAAAACTATCAAACCTACAGTACCAGGCTTTTTTTATGCGTAATAAAACACGTTTCAACTAACAACACACATTTTTATGAAATACTTCATTGAAATCTATACAAGTTATGCGCTGTTATGCAGATTGTGGCGCAATACGCTCGTTCAATCGGCCGCACAGGCTGTGGCAGTTCTAGTTGCTTGAGACAGAAAAACAAATTTTTTTTTCAATCTATATAAATGTAGTTATCGTCTGAACTAGAATTAAGTAAGTACTCAATTTTTTATCGGGATCGCAGCTGTTTGAAAATTAAGGTTTAATTTTCTCGGAAAAGGGCTAAGAGCAGGGCTAAAATATTCAAGCTATCGGTATAATTCTAGTTCGGACCATAGGTGATGGTGCCCTCGAAATGTGTGTAAAACCAGAAGTCAGTCGGTCCAATATTTTTTGAGAAAAACGTGCGACCGACTTGAAAAATGTCGTTTCGAGAAAAACGCGTTTAAAGTTTGCTATACATTTAGCACTAATATTGGTGAACAGCCTTTAAGCATCTGTAACTATGAGACCTCTACGAATTTCAAATTAATATTTTAGAGGCACTTTCTCAAAACCCCAAATAATAAGAAAATGCAAAAGAAAAAAATCGAATTTTTGAAATTTCTAGACGATAATACCCCCTTAATTCGTGTAAGTTTTCTAAAAGAAGACGCTATCATTATTACTTCAAATAAGTCTTGTTAGTAACGCGTATGTCAAACATTAACATGGTCTAATAGTTTTTTCTAACTTAATGTTTATTTTCAAAAGTACCTTTTCTGTTTCGTTAATGGGCCCCTCTTTTAACATATCGATAAGTTGCGTAATCTCCTCCATTGCGACTTCTTCGTATTTATTATGTCTTCTACCGAACCCGAAATCCCTCATGTGCCGGAGAGCAAATCTCCTTTGTTCTTGCCAAAACAATTCCTCGGTGAAGAAGATTCCTATTTCAGGCAAAACATGACGCGTTGCTTACTTTGTCGCGAGAAAGTTAAAGGGAGAAATACCTAATTTCTCTCCGAAAGCCCTCGCCTTCGCGATGTGGAGGTCGCTGGGTCTGCCATCGAAGTCCTCTTTCTTGAATACTTCTTTGATACTTTCGTAGTCATTTGCAATGATAGTATAAAAGGGACCTAAGTAGCATGCGACAACTTTCGATTTCAATTTATTCACATAATAAGTGACACTCTTGTGAGGAAATTTGTAGTTCCCCCACAGTAGGTGCCAGTAAGATCCCATAAAAGGTATTCGCGGAAGACCTGATAAATATAAAAAAACATTAAATTTTTAGTAGATCTTTTTCACGATATAGTATATATTAGAAAGTAAAAGTTGTTTGAAGACTTTGTTGACTATTAACCGGAGCAATATTAAATAATTAAAATAAATAAAACAAGATCACGATAGTACGTGTTATTGAGTGAAGCTTACATGGTGGTGTGTTTGGTGGTGGAGTAGTGATGAATAAATAAAACTTGTATCCTATGAGGACAAGTAATATAACAACAAGGAGCGGCGACATTCCACCGCAAGTGTTTGCGAAACACGAACTGATTTTCTATACTATGTCTTGTGTTATAAATGGTCCAGCCACGTACTTATCGTAAAGTGGTTGTCATAAAGCAATATGTATTAAACGCTGTACGTTCTTATAAATAATTGCCCTTATCTTCTCGTTCAAAGTCGATTCCTACTCCTTTTCTAAAATACTAATGTTAAGTAATAGCTATCATTTTAAAATTAATGTTCCAAAAACATATTAAATGATAATCAAGTAATTTAGTTTCAATTATCAACATAGTCAAGTTGTTTCATCATTTTTATCAACTTCGATAGATTCGCGCCACAATTTTTTTCTCGGTTTAAACGAGCTTCATATTCGCTATCACTTCTTATCATTCTCGATTCGGAATGTTTGAAGTAAACAAAGTAAAATACCGAAAGAAGAAGAATATGAGATAATCGATGTTTTTTTTTTTTTTTCTACCGATCGTAGTCCATTGTGACTAAACAAGGAAATATTATTCCTGTGATATGCAGTAGAAATGATTCATGTTTTGTTCGAGGTATAGGGATATTTGAAGAAAACATATTCTAACAAAAATCTTTATTTTACAATACAAATGTACTATACATTTATTTTTTAAATCACAAATAAGGCGTCTAAGTACTATCCATTATATTTTATTGTATTATATCCTAAGAAACTACAAAAAATAATGTTTTCTTTTTTTTTAAATAATGTGGCCCATAATTTGTTAGACTTGGTTCTAAAACAGACTTGTATAGTTCACTCACTCGAAGTATTTGGTATCACCTAGGCATACTACTTGCAAACTATTTTTAATCACCGATCGCATCCGATCGTCATTCATAACGGCACAACCTACGTTCGGGGACAGTTTATATAACAAACAAATGCAGTCCTCCAAATTTTGCATTATTTCTTTATCAAATACTGGTGTTTCTGTTAAATCAAAATGCAATTTCAAGAATGCCGTGTACAAAGGTACGCAGTGAGCTGCCACGCGCAGGTGAAACATCAAAAGGAAGGTCTTGGCAGTCTACAAAAATCATATTTTATTTATAAAGGTGGTCGACGAAAATAATCAAAATTACGTCCGAAAATAGTTACCTCCAATGTTGCTTTCAACGTTTTGAGGTCTGTATGATGTTCGCAGTATTCCGAGAGTATTCTAGTTAACCTCTCACACCATTTTGCACAGCCAATATTAGTTAATAGTTGAGGCAAGCTCATCATGTAAACACGCCTCAGTTCCACGTTTTGCTCAAATTCCATGTTATCTAACAAGACAGCTAGAACGTCGTCGCGTTGTGTCCACTGTAATAATACATAGCATTAAAAGATCTACATTTAAATTAACATACATCTCAGCTTTGCAAGAAAACTTGTTAATTATATTGGTATTCTTGTAAAGTTGCAATATCTATTAACTCTGAAGAATCTTACTTCAAACACATTTAATGTATTATCCCAGTGTTCGATAGTAGCTAATAAACTTGACATACACATATATACCAATATCACGTATTTGGCTTCTCTCTGATGTGTTAAATGCTCTAAAGCATGAAATATTACTTTGGCATATCCAGTATCAATCAATCCCTTCTTCTATAGAGAGAAATGACATGAATGAGCAACCCAGTATATGAGTACTATCAGATAATAAACATTTCATATGAAATTGTCTTTTACCAAATGAGAATGCTGCACAATTTGATGTAAACATTCAAGACCTATCACAATATTTTCTGGCACATAGTCATCGATGATTATTAAAGCTGTTGGAAGAACATTGCCAATATGGTCGTATAAACCTGGTTTCTAATAAACAGAGCACAGATATTAGTGGAGACTCAAGCCTATATACTCTAACTAATTCTACGAACCTCAATTTGATACAAAATCCATTTATAACATGCTACAGCTGCTGGATAAGCTTTCCAAGTGTCTTTCATCAACTTTGGTCTTAACGTTAACAATACTGTGGTAAAGTTGTCTTGCTCTGTTAAAACTTGGGAGATGCTTTGACATCTGTACAATTCTGACACTCCACTGAGTAGTTCCTTGGAGATGGAAACAGACTCTGCGGTGTTCCAAATGTTTTTCTCGTGGTGTTCCCCAGCAAGTAACAACAAGTTAATAACAAAAGTTCTAACTACCGACGAGTTCAAGTCTATTGGAGCATTCCCTTGATCGCGACTGTGAATGATATGCTGAAGCATGCACCTGATGTTTCGCAAATTTCTGTCTACTATTTGCCTGTACTCTCTAAAGTCTTTTTCCTCGCATGGTCGGCTAGCACCGACTGTCTTTTCAGGCACATAACTTTTCTGAATAAGATCGATACACGCCGACCACAAACCATCCTGAGAAAAATCGCCCGAGATTTTCAGAGCCTCAAGTTCTTTCAGAAGGTCATTCATTTTTGCGAAGTGCTCGCAATGAAGTCTCAGCGAGAAATAACGATCGCCACCTCCCGAAATCAACTTCTCCGCGACAATTCGTTGGTTTCACGGGTGCACACCGTCACTGTCATTTTTCAAATCGTAGTGAACAGTAGCACATTGATCGAATCCGACGCTCACCGATCGGAAAGGGACAATATAATCGTTCAACCTTTTCACGAACCTCTCGCCTACGAATGTCCTGTGCTTACGATCAACAATCAGAACGTACCGACAGTTCTTGTACACGCTCTAACATGTGTTTGGTCGAAGGAGGCCTCGAATTTATCGGACCATCAAACGTGTTCGGTACAACAACGGCACGAAGAGTTTGTTTCACTCCTCTAGCTGTCGTGCAAATTTACAATGTAATTGTTGTATTTTGTAATATCGTTCGATGCATCGAAACAATGATCGATACCAAATTCACGATTCTCGAAGTATCTGTCATTTTTTCATTACCGTACGAGCTGTCGTTCACCTAGTGACAACGATTCTTGCCGTCAGAGTGGAAATTCACTAGATCGGATTAATCCCCTGGTTTAAATTCCCCGCCAGTTAATGCGCAATTGTGGCTCTAGATGGAGCCACTATGTTGTTCTATGCGCAGAATCATCACACCGAGCAATTCATTTATTTTTTCTATGGAAGTATAGCATTCCGGAAGTATCATTATATCCTTGGACTTAGTATGAGTTATTCTATCCATGAAAGATTATTTATTAAAGAAATAGAATATAACGCCATAAACGTCACAGTGGCGTCATCTCGCGTGAGTTAATCGTTCGTCTCTGTCGCGCGTGGCCGTTTTTTCTTTCGTTCGCGTCGTTTTACCATGTCTTTGTCTATTCTTTGCACGGGTGTACAGCTGTCATCGCCGTGCTCCGAATTTAATGGAGTTTGGAAGAACGTTTGTGTCGTAAAAGCGAGGAAATTCCGATGAACGCCGTCCAGTAGTGTATCCTTGTATATTTTGCAAAGTTCGTGTTGAGTGTCGTGTCGCGTTTACGTAAACCGTGCTCGTTTGCTTTCCGTCAAATTCCGAGAGCCTTGGTAATTATGAATTAATGAAGGTGTAGTAGCTGGTAGTTACGATATGGCTGAGTACCGTTAGTTCATTTTCTATTCTTTTCATATCATTTATCATGTCATTTGGTGTTTCATTCTCGACCAGACGACATTGGAGTCGATCGTTGAGGTCTCGCCTCCATCTTGCTTCCTGCATGCAAGACACCGCCCTTCAAACGGTTCTTATAGATGTCAGTTACTTATTTTCACGTTCGAACAGAATTAATTTCACAGAAAGGCGTTTACAGATTTACCTGTATCGTTTAAAGCCCATTGTACGGACTTTTCTGAAAGTTACATAACCTCATTCTCGTCAAAATCAAACGAATTTGTGCAGTTCGTGATTGTTTGTATATTGTTCATCCAAATTCACTTTGTGTTTCGTTTTGCTGATAGCAAGTAATATCGTTTGAAGCACGATGATTTTCCTATCTGCTCCAAGAATTCAGAGGTTCCTAACTGTGACCCCTTTCTAAACATTCACTTTATATCTAACCCCTGTAGAGTTGCTAATAACCACGTTGGGAACCTTGATCTAAAGTATACAAGTAGTGAACATATCTTTACAAATCTGACCAATCTTTACTCTGGTTCTCTCAAGGATCAGGTTCTTATTGTGTATCATCTGGAGTAGGCAGTGATTCGGAAGTCATGGCAGAACTAGCCGCATTTCTTGGTCAAGAAATCCCTGAAGGGAGAAGCAACCTTGCAGATAATCATATAAATCTTGAACGAGTTGCTGATTATTGCGAGGCAAATTACTTTCAAGCTGAAAATAAAAGAATAGCCTTGGAAGAAACAAAGAATTTTACAACTCAGTCCTTGGCCAGTGTAGCCTACCAAATAAATACTCTTGCCTATAATTTTTTACAATTGCTGGATTTACAAACGTCCCAACTGGCTGAGATGGAGAGTCAAATGAACCACATTGCTCAGACAGTCATGATACACAAAGAGAAAGTAGCCAGAAGAGAAATTGGAGTTTTAACATCCAACAAGATTACAGTACGTCAGTACAAAATTATTGCACCCGCAAATCCTGAGAAACCAATTAAATATGTGAGGAAAAGTATAGATTACACAGTCTTGGATGACATTGGTCATGGAGTACGTAGTAGTGGCACTCCTAGGAGTAAGCAACGTGGTGGTAGTCAGGGTAGTGTTCAAAGTTTAGGTGCAGCTTCTACTGGTTCTGGATTAGGTGCTGCTATGGTAGGACCAGCTCCTACAACCAAACCACCTACTCCTCCTCAGACAGTAAGAACTGGTGAGTACAAAATGGATTAAACGTCGATTTTGTATTTATCACGCAAGGTTAATTTGTCTGGTGTAGGAACATTGAGCAAAGGATCACGAGAATATAGGACACCACCTGCGGTAGCTCCACCTCAGGTTCCTAGTCATTATGCCCCCAATTACCCATTGGGACATCCGAGGAGAGAACGTGGACCTGGTTACAGTACCTTGCCTTTACATGCCCATACCACGTCTCACGGTACCCTTAACGCGAATCACAGTGTTCACCCCAATGCTGTAGCTCAACATACCTCACCACCCCAAATAGGTACGGTTCATCCGTTACAAAGTCATCCACAAACACCACCACCTGCACCACCTAGTGTAACAGCAGGGTATGTTCAGGAACAACACAACAGCATGCCTCGTAAGTAACACACGAGTTACTACATATATTATGATGTACAATAAATAAGAAAGAATCTCAGACATTGTTTAATGTCTGTCTCCAGCTCCACCTTCTCCACTGGTCGGTATAACTGGCGATATGGCGGAGTACGGTGGTCACCACACTCTGCCGCACAGACTGACACATCAAGTCAGTCGGAGTAGTGGTGCAAGTAGCCCACCGTTGCCACCGCCGCCGCCTCCCGAACAGGATGAACACTCGCAATTCGGTAGACCCATACAGTCCAGTGGGGCTATCATGCCTATAGTGCCAGACGAGGAAGACCTGCCTGGTTGGGTGCCAAAGAATTACATCGAGAAAGGTACGTTGCGATGTGTTTAAGCGTTATAGATCTTTTTTTTTTTTACGCAGGAGCGAACTATAATGAAGTATTACACTTTTAGTGGTTGCAATTTACGATTATTACGCTGACAAGGAAGATGAATTGAGCTTCCAGGAAAGTTCAGTAATTTATGTATTGAAAAAGAATGATGATGGGTGGTGGGAGGGGGTCATGGATGGTATAACGGGTTTGTTTCCCGGAAATTATGTAGAGCCCTGCGTTTAATAAGTCCATCACGACACTGCATTTGAATGTATCAAAATTGTGAATGATCTTTGTTCACAGAAAGACTGTAAAATTGAGGGACGCAACCGAATCCCTGGTTTTAATATCTTATTTAGTATATTGATAAGCGTAGCGTTAAGGTCGATCGTTACAACGGTGCGGAACGGTGCGACATAGAACGATAGACGACACAATAAAAACTGTAAACACAGATACTTCCTGAAACAATCTCAAGCATCACGTGACTTTTCTAAAGAAAAAAAAATCAAACTAAATAATCTTCGCATCGATACGATAAAGTGTATTTTTTGGTAAAATAGTATCGCTAACGTAATCTTCGGTGATTATTTTACCTCGATTTGCAACGGATCGTATTTACATACGTATATACATATAGGTAGATAAAGACCTGTAATTATCATTCATCTATACGGTACGTCAGCGGTTGAGCTGTATTTATGTAACTTAGGTGTAATCGAGGTGGCGTTAGCTATAGGCTAACGTGCAATCAAAATACCAAACGTCCTGTTCAACGAGAATCCTAGCGCCTTGCGTCGACCGCAAACTTTGTAACATGAATTGCTTTCAGGAATCGAATGCATCCTTCCAATGGGCGCGTAGGCGTAACGAGTTTATTTTAATAATCGATAGTGTATATTTACTTCAGTATTTTATTTATCGCAAAGAAATAAAGTAGAGAAAGAATCCTCATGCTGCAAAGGATCACCTCCAATCCTGTTCGTGACGCCAGTTCATAGTGTATCCATAACTCGGTCGATTAATGTACGTATCGTTTAGGTTTCGATCATTTTCATTTCACCAGGCATTTACGCGGTGCTTAGCCACGCGAAGCTGAGTGCCCTGCCACAATATTCGTACATTGTGCGGCGCTAATTAAGTCATTAGCGAACTATTAGAACAGATATAAGTATCATGTAATTGGCTACTTAACGTACCAGACATGTCCTCTCTCGTTTCCCTTTCCATGCTCCCTGAGATGCTTGCATAGACAATAAGAACCTCGTTTCCCCCGAGGATTACGCATTTCGAAGTAGGGTGGCATGTTTTCACGAGTGGAACGAAAATGTGGGAGTATGGAGCTTTTTTGGGATCGTCGAACTTTTTTAACGACGCGTTTTTAGCTGTTAGTGATGAAGGATGCAAGCGAATATACGAACTACGATTGTATTTATAATCAAATAAACGAAGTTGCAATACAATGTGGAGTGATTTCCATTCATCATTTGCAATTTCCCATAGGTTACAGTCTTCCGTCTTGAGTGTAACCCTGGAAAGTGTGAGCAAACCCTAAAAAATAGTGTAGGAGTACGTGCGAAATATAAGGTACGGAAGATTCGAATCCATGATCCTGGGATCCACAGTCACCTGCTTTACCTACATGACCAACCTCGCATCCACTGAGCTATGTAGTTCAGCCTCCGCACCCTACGAGTTGTGTTTCCATATGATTTCATCTTCTTGGATACAGGAGGCACGGATACTACAGTGATGACGTAGAAAACGACGTAGCGGAGACAAGAAAAAAGGAAATGAGGAGGTACCTGTGTTACAAAATGAATTGTAAGTGTATTTGCGTGATGGGACTCTGATCGTTATCTGATTTATCTTTATTTATTACTTTCCGATTTATTCATTATACCGTCCATTGTTTAGGCAGTTGGGATTTATGGATCTACTTAACAATCGAATCGTTTAGCCTAGAAATACCTTCTAGTTTGCGGCTGCACGCAAAACAGTTCCTAATTCCTTCTGAAATCGACTGACTTCGGATATCGTAAATTGAACGAAATGCACTTGGTCACGGAACGGGAACGCTTGTCATCTTCGTGCGATCGGTGTTTTCGGTTTGTGTGTCCTATGAGAATTGTTCGATCGATTCACAGTAGTCTCCGCTTTCAAGTGGCAAAACTTGGATCGTTGGATTACTCGAAAGTGAAGTAAACAACGATCTTTGTCGACACAAGTTAGTAAGACTTGAAGACGAGGTGATTTTATCTCTTGAATTCAGAGTAAAAATTGAATCTTGAAAGCGGGTATGGTTACAAATGGGAGCCTTTTCCGAGAAATTAATTTCCGTTTGTTATTCAGTACACGCCATTTTAAAGATTACGTCTTTGAACAGAAAGGAAGGCATTAATCGCGAAACCGCTT